TTTAGGAACTCAACGCGCTAACAACTCGGCCACGCTGGCACATTGATAAACGAAAATTTTTAAGATTTTTAAAATTTTTTGCTTTAAATCAAAATAAGCAGATGTTGCTGCAGTTTTCAAGTGAAAATAAAATTGTAAAACTTGATACATGTTTTAATATGTTATAACATTACATAACTTCAAGTTTACTTAAGTTGGATACTTGCATACACTTTCGCTCACGTTTTCTTATAACAAAATATACTGCGACTCTTTCTTGCCACTACCTCGGTTGCAATGGCTGCCAAGGGTTCTGAGTCAAACACGTTAGAAGAGGCACTACTAGCACTATTAAGTTCGACGATAATACATATAGATAAAATGATTGAAGATTTTATTTATGATATGGGTTACTTTAAGTCCGGTCTAAAGTAACCTATGTTTTAAATAAAAACTCAATTAAATGAGGTTAGGCACTTTTTTTCAAAACTGAATAAAAAAATAGTAAAAAAAATACTCATATCTTTTTACCGAAGTGTTAATCTAACAAACTCATAACATTTTTATTACATAAAAGTTCTGCACATTGAGTTTCACAAGCAAGTTCAGTTTTTGACATCCAACAGACAGTTATACCATTTAATGTGCGCCATAGACAATATGGTTTCTTGACAGTGTTTGCCACACATAAATTTATAACAGTTGTAAAAAAACGCGAAAAAAACATCTACAGTAAAAAAAACGCGCCACTTTCAGAATGTTTAATGAGACTTTCTGTGATGGATTAAAGTAGGAACTTTAGACATAAAGTTTAAAGTACGTTTTTTTAGTATATTAGTCTTACACTGGTTTAATCTATGTAACTATGAAATTACATCATATTTATATCCCAACAGTGAGATTTTTTTTTTTTGCATTACACAAACTTATTCAAAGTTCTAATCACTTTTAAACCTTCTCCCTTATTTACTTCCATTTACAAACAACATGCTTTGTTAAATATATAATCCCCTATGGATTCGCCTTTAAGTTGGGTGACATCGACCAACTAAATCTAACGCTGTAAAAACGTAAATGCATATGTAATTAAAAAATATATAAATTATTCTTTCTTACAGTATTAAACTTTTTGAATATTTAATTTTTGGAAAACAAAATAATAATAAATTAATTTAAGCTTAGATGATTGCGCGAAGAGCTGCGCAGCGTGTGATTGGGGATCGAGTCCCTTTGACTGTCGATTTTTACTTAAACGCCTTTTACATCAAAGTTACAACGTTGGCTTACATTGGAAAATCTTACGTTAAAACGTTGGGAAAAAAAAAACGTTAAAAAATTTAATGCTATCCATTTATTTCGTTAATCCAAAGTTATTACAACTTATATAACAACGTTATTTGACGCTGTTGCAATGTTGGTATGCCACTGGGATAGGCTCTCGTAAGTTACCTAAATTATGCGTCACTTTTTGTACAAAATAAATGTCTTAATTGTTAAAAATTTGAACAACTTAAATTTGAACAACTTTAAAGTTGTTCTTTTTAAAATCTTTCGGGCTTCTATCCATCAAGGAGTATTCCCAGAACAATTAAAAATTGCAAAAATTATTCCTATTTTTAAAGAAGGGGATAAATCTGAAATCAGTAATTATCGCCCTATCTCTGTTTTCTTGACATTTTTGAAAATTTTATAAAAAATTATGTCCAACAGAATATACAAATATTTTCATAATAATAATCTACTTTATATCAATCAGTTTGCTTTCAAGAAAGATAACTCAACTGAGCATGCAATAATCCAATTTGTATGTGAAATTTCAAAATCATTCGAGAAATCACAATATACGCTAGGAATTTTTTATTGACTTATCAAAAGCTTTTGATACGGTTGATCACCATATTTTGATTCAGTGCTGAATCAAGGGGGGCTAGGGATGGCTATAGCCCCGAGCCCCGCAAATTTGAGGGCCCTTCAAAATTATAAAGGACTTTTTTTTTTTTTTTAAGCCATTTTTAGGCTCTGGCCCATAAAAAGGCCTCCAAAAAACAAAAATAGCCCCGGCCCCCAAGAAGTCTTAATCCGCCACTGTTTTGATTTATAAACTCAAATACTATGGAATAAAAAATAAAATTTTAAAATGGTTTAAAAGTTATATATCTAGCCGAAAACAATTTGTACCATTTAACAATGATTATCAAACCACTTTTCTAAATACAACCTGTGTAGTCCCACAATGTTCAATTCTTGGACCTCTTTTTCTCGGATCTCTTTTTCTTAATTTATATAAATGGCTTAAATAAAGCTTCAAAACTAACAAGCATTATGTATGCAGATAATACAAATTTATTCTTTTCTAACCATGATATCACTGAACTTTTTAAAACAGTGAACGAACAACTCAGATATATATCTAATTGGCTCAATTGTAATAAGTTAATCTTGAATACTAACAAAACAAAATTGGTTTTATTTCATTCGATTACAAAAACGCGATTCCTCTCATTAAAATTACCTCAAACCTTTATCGATCAAAAGAAAATAAAAAGAGATTATCTTACAAAATTTAAGGTGTTTATCTTGATGAAAACATTACTTAGAATCACCATATTGATTATATAAGCACAAAAATTTCTAAAAACATGGGCATCCTATATAAATCACGAATCTATCTCGATAAGAAAGTCTTAATCCAACTTTATTATTCATTTATACATAGTTATTTAAATTATGCCAATATTGCTTGGGGAAGTACATAAAAAAGTTGCAACGTCTTTATCTCCATCAGAAACGCGCAACCCTATAATTAGTTTTGCAAATCGCTTCTCTAATTCGAAGCATTATTTTATTGAAATAAGAGTTCGGAAATATATGAGTTAAATATATTTAATATTTTATGTTTTGTATATATGTGGATAAATAACTTATCCCTAGCCGTCTTCAAAGATCTTTTCTCTTTTAAACAAATCAGCAAATATATTTTGAGAAATAATAATTTTTTAAATGAACCTTTTTGTCAAACAAACTTTAATCAATTTTGTAATACCTATCGAGCGCCACACCTTATGGAATAAAATTGTTTTGCCAAAGTTTAATTTTGAAGTACCTATTACTTTTTCTCTTTTTAAAATAAAAACTGAAAAACATTGATTTATTATTAGTAGTGAAGTTAAAAATATATTTTGATCAACTTTTATAATTTTTATACGATACTTACGTTTATAGAAGTTTATTACTACTTATTTTATTTATTTATACTTTTTACTTTTTAATTTATATTTTGGTTTACTCTTGTATAAAATTCTTATGAGAAGATCCTCTTGATTTTTCTTCAGACACAGATTATTTACCTTGCAATTTTGTAAAAGTTTATTAATTTTTTTTTAATCTTATCGACAAGATCCTTGCGATCTTCTTTCAGATATCTTGTTTATATTTGTTATATTTTCTATCATTGTAAATTTATATTATAATTTTTTTTATTGGTTATTTAAAGTTTTACAACGAATAACAAAGGTAAACCAAAAAAAAAAATTTACTTCGTCATTTTAAAGCCACCTTATAAATAAATTATAAATGCTGGTTTGTACTTTTTATTTTCTTCGTAAAGATTTCGTAAAGTTAAATTGTTTTAATAAACTAATTCTTTTTTTAAAATCTGTTTTTTTTTTTAATTTTTGATAAGAATTCTGATTACGAGTTATTAGCAAATAGGATATTCTAAACAGATACGGTTTTTTACTTTGTCCTGATTTTTTTTATTACCAAAAAAATCTCAAAACTAAAAATAAAATCATTGTATTCCGGTCTTAAAATTATAAAATATAAATATCATTTACTTTATCAAATATCATTTATTTACAAATAGAAAAAAAGTCTTTAATTGTAATCAAGCTTTAAAAGCTGCCGACCTAAAAAAATCTTGCAAACTTTTATTTCTTTGTCAATCACCATTTGTCAAAAATGAAGATTGAGAAGATTATTGTGTATTTCTCACCATAGTGTAAAACTTATATAAACTATGAAAATTAAATCCTATTGAAATTATGATATAACAGCTGTTTAAAATATGTGCATATGACCACTAACCCAACTCGAGTTAAATTATTTTATGCGTGTTCTGTAAAAGATATAGATTTACGAGGTTTTGATTATATGCCGTCAATAAATTGAAATAAAGATTAAAAAAAAATTCCAACCATTATTACGACATTCCCGCCCTCGTTATGTAGATTTTTTTTTGTATTAAGCACACGAGAGTTTATAATAAACCTGTCAATATGTTTGCAAAACCAGAAAAAAAGAAGACTCTTCAATTTGCATAATTCGTTTTGAATTTGGATAAATCCGGTTTCTGATCAGATTGAAAGGGATATTCAAAAATGAATATCTCATAAAACCGGAATCAGATTACAATTTTAACTACTCGGAAGTCTGGTATTAGATTTGTATCTCAACAAACCGAGCCGGATATCCGGTTTTGATCACCTGTTATAGCAATGTATGAAAATTAAAAATTTCACGCTTTATTTTTAAAAAATTCTATTATTTATCGCAACTGATTTTTGTGGTACTATAATTCTTAAAACAGTTTCTAAAATAGTACAATAAACTATTTCAAATATTAGTAACCTTAAAAAAATATTTATTATATTCAAAACCATACAATGAAACACATTTAAATGTGTTTTATTATATGATTTTGAATATAATAAATATTTTTTTTGAGGATGTGTCCACCACTTGGCCACTGTGCAACGCGCGACTTGATTTGAAAACGAGAAAAATGGTATTGTGAAATAAATCTGGGGATAGTTTTTTTAAATAATAATCATATAGCAAAAGAAATTAAACTGTACTATATAAAATTAAATAATTAATAATTAACATATTTTTTGATTAAAAAAATTTTTAGTTAGATATAAACAAAAATAAATTAAAAACTTAAACAAAATCTAAATAAGAAGAAACACCCGTCATTATTTTATAACTAACTTGCAAGATTTGAACAGCTTACGAGTTGGTTGAGAAAAGAAAGAGTAAGAGAATTGTTAGTTTTCTTATTTTAGCAACGTTTCGTCGGTGTTTTTTCTTCGGTATTGTGAAACAAATTATAATAGTAATGAGAATTTTCAAAACAGTTAAAACATTTTGACACCTAAGAAAAATCGTCTTCAACTAAAACGTTGGATAAAGTCTAAGAGTTAATATTCCTGAAACTAATAACGGCGGACCTGTGCAAAGCGCACACCGAATTCGGTAAGACTCGTTTTTTAATATAAAATTTACTTTAAAAAAGAGTTAGAAATGATTATCTGCCCAAACAAAAGCTCTGAGTCAATGAATGTGCATTTGTAGCATTTATCCTTAGAGAGTCACTCGATGTATGATCACTATGCTGCACTTATTCCTTGTCACGATGTATGTACAATTATAAGCTTTTGCATTAAAATGTCCCGTACATTTTAATGCAAAAGCTTGTAATTGTACATACATCAAAACACTATCACTGTAGTTTGTGAAAAAGATTGGCCAAATGGTTATTATTAATGATTATGGAAAGTAAGACCTGAGAACAAAGTTTAATTTTCAAAACTTGATAATTAAAAGATAAATGTCATACTTTTTGATGAGGTTTATTGTAAAACTATTTTGCCATGGTGGCATAGTATTTAATAAAACAGTAACGAAATTTCATCTAATAGCAAACACCATGTTAAGCTTTGTGTTTGTAACATTAGTTGACCAAAATCTTTCCTCTTAATGTTACTAGTCAGAAAACCTGATCCAGAGTTTCTTTTCGAACAATCAAATCTTATTCTCATTGCAATTAACAATAATAGGGGCAATATTGTCAATCAGTCAATTAGAGTTTTTACAGCTTTTTGAAAAAACAAGTATTATATACTTAAGATAACACGTTTCTCTATTTGATTATTCTTACCTTTAAACATAACTAGATTACAGAAAGAAAACTTGGATGGAGAAAATAAAAAATTCGTGGAATGATATTATCAGTTTATAAAAGCTCAAATCTAGCTCAAAAATATTATTAAAATGTTTAAATGAATGGAAGTTTCTGTATATAAAAAACCAATTGAAAGACAAAACTTTCTAACCAGTGTTTTACAATGAAACATTAGCAGCATTGAAGTCATCCGGACCTGCAGCTTTTCACCGTGATGGACGTTTTTCTCAGACACAACAAACCTTTTCAGTGTTTTGTTTAAGTTTTCATGCTCTGCTTCAAATGTTTGTTCTGAGGTAATACCGAGGGGGTCTTCTGCATATCGAGATACTGCTTGAGATGGTAAATTCATTCCAGATTTCATAGCATGCTGTTGCATCTTGAACTTATGGTTTAAATTTAAATTTCTCTATCTGTCAACAGCTTTAAAGCAAACCTTGATAGGCTTGATAGGCTTTGATATATATAATTACTTAGTATTAAAATGAAAAAAATACAACTTTTTGTTGGTACTCAGAGTTTCATGCCTGGCGGCAATCATCAGCCATATATATATTTTTGAATCAAAAAATTAAAAAACCGTTTAAAATGCAAATTAAGCAATGCAATGGGATCTGACGTCAAAATATCGACTACACGAAGTTTACCTTTAGCCTGTGTCGAATTGACAAAGAAGGAGTTTAATTCTATGCCGACATTTTGATATAATTTCAGTCTTTTTATTTAATAAACTATTGTCATTATTTGAAATAATTTCATATTTTTCATTAAGACATAATTTGCACGATTTTGTTGTCAGGTTATACGATTCACATCTTCTTCTTATTCTCCAATTGATCACAGGATTTTTATCATTATCTTTTAAGTTCCAAACCTCCTTTGACAGGATATATATATATATATATATATATATATATATATATATATATATATATATATATATATATATATATATATATATATATATATATATATATATATATATATATATATATATATATATATATATATATATATATATATATATATATATATATATATATATATATATATATGTTTTGAAGAAAGAAGTACGGCATCTTAAGCTCTTTTTTGCGGCAATTTTTATTAAACTAATCTATTTGAAATAAGCAATTTAAATTTTATATTTAACTTAAAGTTCTGTGAGGGAAAACTTATATAGAAACTTAAAGTTCTGTGAGATTTTATATATATATATATATATATATATATATATATATATATATATATATATATATATATATATATATATATATATATATATATATATATATATATATATATATATATATATATATATATATATATATATATATATATATAAATTATTGCTCTTTTTACTTTAGACTTAAGAAACATCATGACTACCATTGAAGAGTTTAAAAAGTTTTCAAAAGAAATGATTGATTACGTTGCAAACTATTACGAAGATATAGAAAAAAAAAGTGTGCTTCCAAAAGTTCGTCCAGGTTACCTTAAAAACCTTTTACCGTCAAATGCACCTTTTGAACCTGAAAAATGGGAAGATATAATGAAAGATATTGAAAATATTATTTCTCCTGGAATTACTAACTGGCGACATCCTCATTTTCATGCATATTTTGTGTCTGCTATAAACTTTCCATCAATAGTAGCTGACATATTAGCTAATGCATTGACAGGTCCAGGTTTTTCTTGGATAACAATGCCAGTCAGTACTGAGTTAGAAATGATAATGATGGATTGGCTAGCTGATTTTATTGGTTTACCTGAACATTTTAAGTTTTCTTCGGATAGCTCAGGAGGTGGTGTTTTACAAAGTTTTGCAAGCGATGTTACTCACTACACATTGTTACTTGCACGATCTAGAATAACAAAACAAAATTCAAACGACAGCGACATTATGTCAAAACTTGTAATGTATGCATCAAGTCAATCTCATTCTTCTGTAATAAAGGCTGGATTATTAGCGGGAATAAAAATACATTACGTGGATACAGACGAAAATTTTACTTTAAGAGGAGAAGGGCTTGAAAAAGCAATTTCTGAAGACAAAAAAAATGGACTTATTCCGTTTTATCTATGCGCAACACTTGGCACTACAACTTCATGCGCGTTTGACAACATTCAAGAATTAGGACCAATATGCAATAGGGAAAAAATATGGCTTCATATAGATGCAGCATATGCAGGAAGTTCGTTTGCATGCGAAGAGAATCGTTATCTAATGGCAGGTATTGAATTAGTAGATTCCTTTAACTTCAACTTACATAAGTGGATGCTAGTATCAATTGATTGCTCTGCATTATGGGTGAAAGACAAAAACGAAATAAGTAGTGCTTTCAACGTTGATCCCGTATATTTAAGATTTCCTATTGGCGGAGAATTACCTCAATACCGCCATTGGCATATTTCATTAGGACGTCGTTTTCGGTCTCTAAAAGTATGGTTTACTTTACGTCTTTATGGAAAAAAAGGAATACAAAGTTATATTCGAAATCATATTCAACTTGCTCATGAATTTGAGGCAATGATTCAGTCTGACAGTAGATTTGAAATTAGTTATCCAGTTACAATGGGTTTAGTTTGTTTTCGTTTAAAAGGTAGCAATGAACTTAATGAAAAATTGAACGAGTCAATCAATGCTGAGGGTGAAATACACATAACTCCATCAAAACTTGGCGACAAATTTATTTTGCGACTGGCTATCACATACGAACATGCAAATATAGAACATATAAAATTTGCATACGATAACATTAAAAAACATGCGGATTTATTACTGTTGTAAGTTTACTTTAAAATTTAACTTGAAAATTATAGAATCAGTTTACCCAACTTGTAGTTACCCAAGTAACTTGTATAAACTTCCACTTTTATCCTATAACGTAAGTAAAGCTACAATATTTTGAAGTTTAAGGGTGTTTGGCAAGGGGTATCTGGTGAAATAAGTCAACCAAGGGGTATCTATGAAAAGTATTTGGCAACGGATGGAATGATTTCTAATACTACTCCAAAGAAAGGTGGCGGGATAGCTCAGATGGTTAGAGTGTTAAAGGAAAAGTTAAAACCCGGACTGTTGAACGATACGAGTTCAAATCCCGCCACCGCCAACTCAGCGCTTGAGTAGTACTTCGGTACGCAAAAATGTTGGTCAATGACGGACGCTACTTTGGATTAGTCTTAATGACTATTTGTGGCTGTTCCTATGCTAAGCCAACAATATCTTCGGATATAAGAACATTGTATAAAAAAATATAGCATGAAAACTTAAATAAAAAAAAAAAAAAAGAAAATTATATAAAAAAGCTACGCTTTAAAAGTTGACGTATTTCAGCCGGTTTTTAAACAACTTTGGTACTTGTTACCAGCCAGTGCCACCATGATCTCAATAATGATCTCACAATGTTCAAAGCAGCCGTGGCACAGTGGTAGCGCACTTGCCTCAGAAACAAAAGATCAAACCCCACCTCTGGGCAAGTTTTGCGACATTGGTTAAGGAGAAAGCGCAAACTTCCTTTTAAATACTCCTCTGCGTACTCTTTTTTTTTTATAAAATATTTTGTATTTTTATTAGATTGCATTAAAATATTTTACATGTAAAATCCGTAGACAAATGCAAATAATGGTATTTTAATAGATTACATTAAAATCTATTACATGTAAAATCCGTAGACAAATGCAAATAATGGTATTTGATAGAAGATCCTTTTTCATAAACAGCTCTGCAATGAGACCGTGAGGACCTCTTGGGACAGCTAAAAAAATTAAAAAAATAAACCTAAAGTACATAGTTGACTATCGTTCCTAGTTGTGTTGGAAGTAGGGGAAGAGGGACAACCGTTTTTTAATATTTCCGTATGAAAATATTATCTAATATGGCAACAAACATACCTTGAGTTAGTAAAACAGTTACCTTTTTTTTATGTCAATAAAAGTCATTATTTGTACGCGCGTACAAATAAAAAGCCCAAAATAACAATTATATGTACGTAAAAAGTATTTAAATTCATTAATTTATTTTAATATCAACATATTAGCATAGAGTCGTGGGTAATAAAACCTACACACTTTGCGGCTAACAAGGTCGAGAGTTCAACTCACTTAAAGAGGATAATTTTAGGATATGTTTTTTTATTTGAAAGTTGTTTTATATGTTTTAAGTACTATTGTTGTTTAATTATCATTTATATTATATCTTCTGAGAAGTTGTTCATAATATTGTTTATTTTGAAAAAATATTATATTTATATGATATTTTTTCACAACTTTTTTTTTTTCTTGGATCAGGTAATATTTGGTTTTAGTATTAAAACCAAATATTATTGGTTTATTTATTACTCTCAGGTGCTAAATAAGGGACAAGATACGTAGGAATTTTATCGGAGAGTTTATTTAGTCTTCTTCTGTGTATTAAGTACCAGAGAGTACTGTAATCATTGTTATAAAGGCGAATTAAATCTAATTACAATGACATGTTTAATGCTGAAATAACTGACAGAGTTACAAATTTTGCCTTCATGAAGAAATGAAACTTTTATGACCTTATTCGAGCAGATGCAGAAAGTAAAGTTTTCGTTGCTAGTGAGCATACTCCACTTTAAGCTCTGTTCTATATCTAAGAGTTATCTTTAACACCAAAGCATGATGTCACGACCCTTGATATGAATTTTTATTAGCGCGCTATGCGTCGCGAACCGGAAATAGGATTTTACTTTTCTAAAAAAAAAAATTCAATTTTAATATTTTAAAAATTTTTAACCAAAACAAGTTAGCATTAGTTAATAAAAAAATATTTATTTCAAATTTTTTAAAATTGTCTTTTTAAGTGCGGGATTTTCAGGGGCATAAAAACCTGGTTTTTCACTAAATCTCTATGTTACATACGATAATTTCCGAATTTCCTCAATTTTTTTTGCATACTATCAAATAAATGATAAATTTTGTAAATTAAAAACTAAGAAAAGAAAATGCATGGATCATTGTTTTTGTGTGTCCGTAAAGATTGATTGATTAAATCATGTTACTACAGAGGTAGCCAGTTTTTTATTTATTACAAATTTTCTACGATAAATAGACTTTTTAGAAGTGAAATAATATTCTGGCAACCTCTGTAGTAACATGGTATAATATCAATTCATTATATTTGGTTTTATCAAAAACCGGTTAGTTAATAAGTATAAAAAACAACACTAGATACGGAGTGGTACATTTGTTCTTTGTCTTGAAGTTATAACTTTTAAGTTAAGCGTGGTTTAATGTTTTAAAATGGTTACTTTTAATCTCAGCAAACTTTTGTTCGATGATTTACCTCCAAGGCATATTTTCACATGTAAAAATGTGTTATTTGTATATATGTAGGGGAGAGCGGGGTTGGTTGTCACGCGGGTTGGTTGTCACAAAGTTTATTACAGGAAATGTAAATAAGATATAGAAATTTCAAATTATGCAATGGAAATGTTATATAAAAAAAACATTTTTACAGTAATTTTTATCTTTTTTTAGCGTGCACAAGAAAAGTTATTCGTTTTTAAAGGTTTTTGATATGAAAAAGTAAAATTTCGCCTACTCAGAAATTTTCTTTTACTAAACGAACATTATTTTATTGTGTTTTGAATGTAGATTTATAAAGTACTTTATTCATTTGAGTAACTTAATCCGTAAAAAATTATCATGAAATTCTCACGCTTTTAGGTAAATGTACAGGTGTCCAGCAACTTACTCAGAAGGGGTTGCTTGTCACAAAATATATGGGGATGGTTGTCACACTTGCCTCGACTCCATGCGCTGCAAATTAAACGCCGCTTGCAGATTTTTTATTGGCTTTGTTTATTTTCCGCATTATTGAGGAATATTTTAATGTTAAAGATATTATTTAAAAATCTAAAGTCAAAGTGTTATATTTGTTTAACTAAATATCTGTAATCTAAATTATTTTTATTTCAACGTGCATAACTTTAGATTCCGATCCAATGTTTAGTATAATTATAGAAAAAGGATTGCAGAAGTTCAACTGTTTATTGTTTTGTTTACAAACTAAATAACTAGCTGTTGTTTAGTTTGTAAAACTGTCTGTTGTTTTGTTTGTGCATTGTTTATATTTAGTGCATCTATTGTTTTGAATCTTTTTCCAACAGCCGATCAAGAGAACAGTGGATTCAATGTCAGGTTTGCCAAAAACGGTCTCATGAAGAATGCACACCAGGCTTACAACAGTTTATTTGTGAATTGTGTTCTTTATCCAATAATTTTTAAAAAACCAAACCTAAAAACATTTATAGTGATAAACTAAATTTGTTAATTGTGTTATATTTAAAATATATATATTTCAGTTTATAGTACTTTATTTTTATTTTTCTTAGTAAAACATAAACGAAATTAATTTGTACTCGTTTTACATTAAATTCTTATCTAAACTTGTCAAAATCCAAATGTGACAATCGACCCCGCACCATGTGACAACCTACCCCGTGAGCGGGGCTAGTTGTCACACAGAAGTGGTCTTTGAAAAATGATTTTACAGCAATAAATATTTCACTCAATGTCATAAAAATATTGTAATAGTTACTGGAAATAGTTAAACTAGCTTTGTGCAAAGTTTGGCATTGATTGGATGAAAATTAAAAGCTGAGCAGCCTAAAATGTAAAAAGTGTGACAACCAACCCCGCTCTCCCCTATATATATGCATATTTTCACAAGTAAAAATATATTTGCGTGTGCTTTATTTTTGCAGTCCACGTTTTTATCACTTTATGCTGGTTACACAGTGAGTTTTAACATTTTTGAAAGTCTGGCTTTTTACTAAATAAAACCTTGATGAAAAAGAAAAAAGTTGTTTCTTACTAAATATAAAACATCAAAAATCAACAAAGTATATATCTCTTGTGATTATAATATGTTTTATATATAAAGTTGTTACTATAATTGTTAAATAAGTTATGAATATTAAATTATAATATATTATAGTTTATTTTATATGTATATGTATTTATGTATGTATATATATATATATATATATATATATATATATATATATATATATATATATATATATATATATATATATATATATACATAATACATATAGTGCTAAATAAATAAACAATAAGTTCTTTGTCTGAGAATGCTATTGAAGCCAGAAACAAAGAAAGCAAAACTGCAAGAGTTAGTCATGCAAATCTAACTTTTTTGGCAGAAAACACTAGAGATACAGTTATTTGTTTGTGACATTTGCTATGTACTTCTATTGAGTGTTTTTTTTTAATGTTGTGCTATTGTTAGTAGTTTAGGCTTTTTTTGTTAGACTATTACCGTTAATTTTTTTTGTGGTAAAGAAATCTCAATATAGTTTATAATAACAATTCAAAGTTTTGTTTTTAAAAAGTATTTAAGAAATAGTTTAATAAATTCTAACAAGTAACTAACTAATCTAGAAAGATCTATATCATGAACTAAAATGTTATACTGATAAGCTGATCTGCGTTGATTTTTTAAAAATATGGATATTTTCATAGCAACAAATTATTAAAAACATCTTTTAGAATGTTGAGAAATTTTGTAAGAAACTAAAGAACAAAAAATCAGATAATTGCAGATTTGTTTATAATTTTAATAAGTTTATATTCAATGATATTGTTTATTAAATTGTGTTAATGATATAGTTTGTAAAATTCTGTAAAATATCTGCGCCTACTGTTTTTTGAATGTTATTTTCCAGATTAGTCAGAAATTAGTCCGGATGAACCGGAAAAAATTTAGTTAACTGTTTTTTTTAAAAGCCTAATATTTTTCTTTTAAATACAGAAATATAAACAAAAATTCGATGTCATGTGAAAAATTCAGCCCAATATGTCGAATGCTTCATATAAGCTTATTTCCTCATTTTGTATTATAGCGACGCATAGTGTAGCGTGACGGGCATTAGCTGATAAAATTACTTATTGCAATTCGCCATTTTTAATGCAACCTTTAATATGCAATATGGTTTTAGAATAATAAAAAAAAATGATATTTTTGCTCCTCACTACCATGTTAACAAACTTACAAAGGTTCATTAATAAAAGAGCAATTGAAATAAGTGAAAGATCGTTCGAGAGTATGGCGTATGAAAAAATAGACATCTACACAATAATACTTTCAATAATAATATCAATATATTTGATATATTAGTAGCAGAAGATAGTAAGACTCAAAATAAGGCGAAGTTTTAAAAAAACGCAGACCATACACATCATACTGATTTAGGGAAAACATGTAACGGAGCGCAGCTACACTAACTGACGGCTTTGGGTAACAAATCGAATGGAGCTTTCCCCATAAAGCAATGCATTATGGTATTTGTATGTACAGAAAAGTTAAAAACTCGCGATTCATAGTTTTTTTAATTTTTCATTATTTCGTGGCTTGCTCGTACATAGATAATATTTTTCTCTCTTATAATTAATTACATTTACGCCAGAATTTTTCATAAATTTTGTTATCTCCGTAGGAGAATAACGGCATTGTAATATAAACAAATATTTCAACACAGCTAAAGTTAAATTTTGTTAAAGAAGCTTTTTTGAAGTATATTTTACAAGTATACATATGTAAAAAAATATATAATTAACTCTATGAATATTCCTGCTTGATCTAGCTTTTTAAAAAGCCCTTAGCATTCCACTAAATGCAACATTTTGTGTAATTACAAACAAGGAACTTAACAGCGACGAAAACAAAATCTTTAAAGATGTAATGTAATGGTCAAAAGACAACATCTCTGTTTCCAATAACACATCAACATATATTTACTTATATAGTATCAGACTATATTTTGAAAAAAAGCTTATAAGAAATTTGTAATTGTAAAAAAGCTTATAAGAAACTGTGATAGTAGTTTACAATCACAAGCTTTGTTTAGTGGAGTATTTAAAATAAAGATATTGCTCATGAAAAGGTTAAAGTAAAAGTTAACTGTGATGCTAAAAAATTTGATTTTGTTATAAATCCTAAATGCCATGGTTGGTTCTAGCCCTGATGGGTTACGCATTAACCAAGACAGCTGCAAAATAATTGAAGTTAAGTGCACTTTTTAAAAAAGAAATCTTTGTGTACATTAATCTTGTACCAATAGAACTTTTTGTATGGAAATAGTAATAGACAACAAAAACTAAAAAACAGTTAATTTTACTAATGTCAACGTATATTTTACAGAAAAGAGCAGAGTTGACTTTGTTTTATACAAAAATAAAGACTTTTTTTGTGCAATCAATTAAATTTGAAAATGAAAACTGGTTCAATAAGATTTTACCTTGTTTAAATACATTTTATTTTCAGTTTATGATTAAAAAAATATTTGAAAGGATGTAAAAGTATGTAAAAATTATGATAAAAAATTAGTATTTTTTTATTCTTCAGTATTTTCTGTTGGGAATTGCATAAAACAATAAACTTTTATGTTTTACCTAGTCGCTAAAACATTTAGGTACAAACATGTAAAATCCCGACTTCTTTTTTTTTTTGTCTGTTTTTTTGTTGAAAAACATTGTTTGGTGCACTTGTTATCTTTTCTTTGAAGTCTTATATTGTACAAAGTTTACTCCAACAATATAGTTATTTAAAATTTGAACTAAAAAATTTAAAAGGTGTGAAATAAAATACACTAAAGTCTATTGGGACAATCTCAGTTCTTTCAATATTTGACATTTTACTCGACTTATTTTTGTTGTTTACTTCCGCGCACATACAAATACCATAATGCATTGCTTTATGGGGAAAGGTCCATTAGGGTAACATAAATCGATTAAGCGGCGCTCCATTACATTTTCTACCTAAATTAGTATGATATCTAGTCTGCGTTTTTTTTGCAAAATCATTTTGAGGCATACCTTTGCTTACTAGTTAGTGACGTTTTTTAAAGTATATGTTTCGTGGATTTTTGTTATTTTTCTTACACTTAAAACCTGTATGTGACGAGAAAAACCGGTCTTAGCTTTTTAATCATCGAAACAACTCCTAACAACAAGATTATTAAATATCACTTCACAGATTGTTAAAAATTTTAAATAATAAAGCGTATTTTCATAAGACGTAAAGAATGTTTTTAACAGCCGCAAATTTTCTTATTGTAAAATTGCGTTAAAAACATGCTTAATAAAATGGCAGTTTCAATAAACTTGGCGTGATTTTTTACAGTGAACGTATAAAATATAAATATTATCTATAATTTATTTGTATTTAAATATTGGACAATTGATCTTCATAGAATGATTGGTAGATGTGATTTTTAATAACGATTTAGAATTTATTTAGTAGAATGATGGACAACTTGTTCTCCAAGAGATTCTAATATTTCTTTCCTATAATCTTCAAAGTCACCATCGATTTCCTCCATGGTTTTATTTTCAACAACCCAGAGTTGACAATTAGTCTCCAAAATTAAACGGGCATCGTGACTTACAATAATAACACCTAAGATATAAATATGTTTAGTTTACCTAACAGTCATAATAAAGGAAAACCTTTAAAATTGTTTTTTTTTTACCTCCTTTAAAATCATTAATAGCTTCAGCTAAAGCATCTATTGATTCTATATCTAAGTTGTTAGTCGGTTCATCCTAAAAAAATAATTTAAACCGAATCACGATTTGACGACTTTTAAGTCTGATATATTGCTTTTAGAAGTTGACAAGAATTAAAAAAAAAACACACACATTCAACATTTTATAACGTCGTGATATCTATCGCAATTAACAAAACAAAATTTACCAAAATAATAATATCAGGTTCTCTACATGCCATGTCTGCTAAAGCAACACGTGATTTTTGACCTCCTAAAATAGGAAAAATATTATTTCATCATTTAAGATAATTCACTAAAGTACTCTGATCAAAAAGTCATATGGATGCTTTCAAAAGGTTGGAAAATATATTTAAAGGTTGGAATATATATATATATATATATATAAATATATATATATATATATTATATATATATATATATATATTATATATATATATATATATATATATATATATATATATATATATATATATATATATATATATATATATATATATATATATATATATATATATATATATATATATATATATATATATATATATATATATATATATATATATATACACACACAAACACATACATAACAGTGGAGGCGGCATTTTTTGGTTTTTGAAATCTCCAAACATATATGTTTATACAAATATATGTTAAATATAATATATATATATAATATGTATAAGGTTATACATATATATGTTAAATAAAAAAAACTGCCCTCCCCGGGCTGACGGTGAAAACAACTTAAAATAATAACTTTTGGAAGGTTCAAACTTAATATAGTCATAAGTTTTGAACGCTAACAGATTTTTCTGTGAAATTTAAAATTTACTTTTTATTTTTAAACCAAAAAAATGCTTTATCCGCCACTGTTTATACACATATTTTTGTATAATTTTTGATAAACTCAATACTTGTTGTTAAACTTTAAACGAATTTAATTTAAAAAAAAGATGAATATCACAAAAATTACTACGTAAAGAGAACTTTTGTGAAAATTGTTTAAAAATAAATTGAGCAATTTTTTAAGATTAGGATTTTGCATTTACAAGCAGAGTAGGTAGGTTTGTATATGTTTTTCATCATTATTAAGTAGGTCTGTATATGTTTTTTAACGGAGGATTTATAATTAATATATATTGAAAATAAATTATTCACATTAATTACATTTTGAATTCAATTACATGAAGAAGATTCAATGATTAAAACTGTTTAAAAAAACAAGGTAACCTTTTTTAGAAGCACAAAATAAAAAGCCATAAATAAAAATCCATAGGCAACACGTACTTACATGGTTAGCATACTAAAATGGTTAACCCCCCCTCATTCAGACTTTTTTTTTCTTCTGGTTTTAAATACAATAATTTTTTTTTCTAAGCTGTTTTTAGTTATCTAATGAATACATATAAATTTTATTAATTATTATTTAATATTACTTTGAAAGTCATTATTCGTAAAAATTTATAAATAAAAAGCCCACAAAAAACAATTATATATACACAAAAAATATTTAAGTTCTTTAATTTTTTTTTCAATATCAACATATTGGCATAGAGTCGTGAATAATAAAACATATATTTTGAGCCGCAGCTAAAAAGGTTGAGGGTTCAACTCACTTAAAGAGGATAGATATTTAATACAATGTAGCTATAACTTGATATATCGGATTTGTAGTTGTAGTATATTATAATATTTATAATAAACATCATACAAGTAGTATATTTTACTCAAAAGTGTTTTTTTTATGTTTTACTATTCTTTATTAAATAAAAAATATACATACCTGCTTATAATTTTATACCTATTATATGTACTGAACATTCATTATTAGTTATACTGAATGGAAACAGTATTTTATTTCCTTATTAATATTTATTAATTAATTTCTGATTTCATTTAATTTTACCAATGAGATAAAGAAAGACTACATCAAGCTGAGTTATGACACTTAAAGTTTACACTTATGAAACTTTATGAAGAAAAGTTTAGTATTTCTTTCCACCACACTTGATTCAAAGCAAAAAGTAGGAAATGTTATATAAAAAAATAATTTTAATAAACAAGAATATATAAAAAGAAATCCATTTTATCCATTTAAAGGATTTGAACCTTCATCCAAAGCCATCCTTCATCTTTGAAGAGCATGATAAAAATAAATTTGATTAATTGAAATAAAATATTTAGATACTGATTTCTGACAAACCATAACATAACAATCTAGTTTCATAAATAGACAGAAAAACACCCACTGATACAGAGTATTACCAGGAAGTTTTAAACCTCCTTTAATTAGTTCTTTCAAGTAACTGCCATACATTTCATAATAATTAGAAGTATCTTTACCATTATCCATTTCGGTTTTGTGAACAATGTATCCAACAATATAAACACACCCCATTTTGCTGTCTTGTTACATAGACTCTTCTAAATCATTCAGTATGACAAAAATCTCACTTCTTCAGTTAGCTGTCGAAGACATCAATCACAAGAATGATGTTCTGAGCAGCCATAAAAGTCTGCGTCAAATCTTAGTAGTAATAAAACATTGTGAATATGAATTTTCTCCACAGCTTGCTGAGCAGAAACAAAGCACCACAAGCACCCTGTCTTAGTTTACCAAAGGCTTTCTCTAAAGGATCAATTGAAAAATCACCAAGCATAATGAATTGATGATCTTGACTAGTATTAAACCACTTAATGTGTGAGATATTGCATCTGCTGTTGCTAAAGTTAATGTTTTTATTCTATTTTTACCATTTTTTGCACCAATATTTTTGATAAATGCTGTTACTGATTGTCTTTAGCACTTTGAATGACAGCTTAAAAAGGATCTTGCTATCTTACATCATCAGACGTTCTTCGTACATTTATAATTTTCCAAACATCAATAAAAATTTGCAGAAAAGCAATAGTACCTTTAACTTGCATCTGATTTATAACTGGATTTGTTTTCAAAGCTGTCAGGGTTTCTTCACAAAAAATACACATTACTAGTTTCAGATTTTGCCTTTCTACTAGAGATGTACTTCGAAGCTTCGGCCAAAGCCAGGGTCAGTTTTTGTCGAAGCATTGGCTTCAGCGAGTTTTTTCAGGTAATTAAAGGTACTAAGCTACTGTTATATTAAACATTAAATAATTTTATTTTTTACAGTATAATAACTATAATTCTACTACTTGCAATTTGCTCACTTTCAATTTGCTTACTTTCCTTGATGTATGCCACGGCATACATAGTATACATTGCGACATGCCGCAAACTATATATATATATTTTTTCGCCTGCTTATCAAAATGGGGTGGTTTTTTATATTTTATTTAAGGTCTATGTTTAATTTTATTCCGTTGTTGTATTTACTAAAGCCTTTTTTCACTGTAAATTATATTTAATTTTTTTTGCGCTTCAAACATACGCTAGAAAAATTATTTCTTATTTTCCAATCAAAAACATGAATAATAAATGATATATAATTATAATTACAGAAGTAGATAACCTACAGAAAAATGAATGGCAGCATGCTAAAATAATTGTATGCGTACTAAAACACTTTGAAAGCACTACGAAAGGTATGAGTGCAAACACATCAGAGATCATATTGTTACTTGATTATGCTTGGAAAATATCAACTGGAATCAAAACTGTTGATGATGAACTTAAAACTGATTTTTAATGAAATTAAAACTGATGAAAATTAATGAACTGATGAAAATTAATAAACTGATGAAAAATAATGAAATTTAAAATGATGAAATTAAAACTGATGAAAAGTTATTCATATGTACAAAGATAATGTTGCTCTGAAAATTGCATTGATGCTCAAACCCAGTTTTAAATAAAACTTTTTAAAGAAACAGATCATAGTATGTTTAAGAAAATTTTATATCAAGGGTACTACCGCTTTCATTTGGAGTATAGATACTCTAAATGAAAGCGGTAGTACCCTTGATATAAAATTTGTTTTCTTGTTGTGAATGATCATTTACAACAAGCATAAGAAGTTGATTTTGTTAAAGACTGTTTTTGTTAATGGTCTATTTACAGCCAGGCTGTGTCTTCTTGTTATTAAGGGTCTGGTTGCATTTAATATTTTTTATTTTCTATGAACAACAAAATTATTTATCAACTATAAATGTTTATATAACTATATAAGTTGAATAAGAGTATTCTTTTTCTTTACTTGAATAAACGTTTAAACTATTAGATTAAACTTTAAATTGATTCATAGTTTTGTTTTAACATGGGCAAAGTCAACTACTACTATTGCCTATCGCCATTATGAAAAAATGAATGCCCTTATAAGTGGTGGGGTGTTTACAACTACACCTGCTCCGATAAAAACTCTAACAAGTAGGATTTGGCAAGGTTCTGAATGAAAACTTTGTGAGCACCTCCTCCATCCGTTAAGAGCAAATCTCTCTTCAGCACAACCGGAAACATATTTTAAGCCAAAAGAAACAGGCTTATGCCTGAGCGTGAAGAATAGATTACGTTTTTAAATTATAATTTGCCTAATTTCCAACAATAGATAATTAAATTAAACGCAATAAATTAAAAAGCATTATAAAAATAACTACACTCATTTGTTATTAATAATTACTAAATAGTTATTTTATTATACTTCAAAGTACAAACAAATGTAAACTAAATATTGTTTATAATATAATTTTAAATTTAACACTTGATTAAGTTGATGTGAAGCCAAAATAGTTTTATAACTTACACCCTAGTTCAACTACTAATTTGCAGAGATGGAAATAGTAAAACAAAATTTTACTAAAGTAAAAGTACTGTAACTTGAGTGAAATTTTACTCAAGTACAAGTAAAAGTTACCGGTCAAAAAGTTTACTCAAGTAAAAGTAAAAAGTAACTTATTAAAAATGTACTCAAAGTAAAAGTTACTGCGTTACTTTTTTAACAGCCTGTAGTGAAGTACAATACTTTAGAAAAAAAAAATTAAAATTAAAAGTAAAAGTACACATTTAAAAAAATACTTAAAAAGTAAAAATTCACAAAATAACTACTCAATACAGTAACGTGAGTAAATGTAATTCGTTACTTCCCACCTCTGCTAATTTGTAATTAGTAATTACTACATTAGCTTGTCATATTTTCCACATGACATTAAACTTGTTGAAACAAGGCATAGATACATCTTATAATCATATGACATTGCGTAATTAAATAAAAACCCTTGATTATTTGTTATAGTAAAATATTTTGCGCGCTAAAAAACTTATAATTGCAGTATATTTTGCAATATGCAGCACATTTAATAGTTGCAGTAAAATGTTAAAAAATGTTTTTCAACAATTAGTATTTTACCTAGATAGCTAAATGCAAGATAACAAATTTTATCTACGTAAGTGGTTTTGGCAGAGTGACTTTGGCCGAAGCTTCCGCTTTGGCAAAATCTTACCTTTGGTACATCCCTACTTTCTACAGGCTTAGAAATTATCTTGTCTAAATGAGTTAGCCATATCTCCATATACAGGAGATATGGCTAACTTATTTAGACGAGATAATGTAATAAGCAAGTTTATTTCTAACAATCTCAGTTTCTCAAGATCTTTCCAACCAGCAACCAACTCCTCAGCTTCACCAAATAAAAATTAAATCTCTTTTCGGTAAGCCAGTTGTCCAAAATCATAATTAGACACTGGTACTATACTAAAAATAAATGTAGGTTCTGCAAATAAGCATTTAACCATTACAGCAAGGAGTGTTCTGGCAAGCTTTTCTGGGTTATCCTGAGCATGACCATAGACTTGAAAAGTGACAACTTGATCATAGACTTTTCCTTCATAAAATGTGACAGTTGCTTTAATGTATACTTCATCAACCATGATAATGCATGAATGCTGCCAGTCTTTCAAACTGTGAAATATTTTGGAAATTAAAGATACAGTATCAAGTTTATTTGCTCATGAGGTCAATTTTGTTAAAGATTGTACACTAGGTAGCTGAATGTCATTTCTTAAGCGCTTGTATAATGTTCAAGATACAACCATATACTCAAAGGCTTGAACAATTATATCTGGTGAGTACAAAAGCTTTCCAACTGTGGTACTTCTTATCACAAATAATTCTTCTTGTAAAACCTTTTTTTTTTAATAGTCATTTCATTAGTTTAAAAAACAAACTGCTTCAGATGAAATAGAAAGTTTGTTTATTACTCTTATTCTGTTCTGTGAAAGTGTTGAAATACTGTGAACCCATATGAAACAAATAAAACACTGTGAACCCATATGAAATGCTGAATATGTTGAATCACTTTTAATTTAAAGAAGAAATCTAAAAAAGTATTATAAATATAAAATTAGTCACATTGTTATAACATAAAGAAGAATGAAATGTAAAGTCTGTAATTCATTTAAAATATAATAATAGTAATATTGTAATAACAATGATTGCTATTATATTATTATTATTATTATTATTATTATTATTATTAATATTATTATTTTGATATATATTTTCATGAAATTAAGACTTTCTATGTGATTTTACTTAATGAAATGAAAAGCAATGTTTTTCATGACATTAAGAAGAATATATTATCATAAAGTAGAATATATTATCATAAAAACAAGGATATATTATCATAAAAACAAGGATATAATATCATATAGCATCCAATATATTATTATAAAAACTAAAAGGTTAGATAATTAGAATGTTCCTCACCGTGGCACTCCTGTTCCTTGAATAAAATCTTTTGATTGTAGGACAATGTCATCATTACACTTGTAATAATGAAAATCTAAATTGTTCAGTTTCAAGCTTTATCATAATGTCACTGAATTCTAAGTTATCAGCATCATTAAAACTGTTAATTTCATCCTCTTGAATATTTCTCACTGATAAACTTGTTCGAGTTGTTTTACGTGGTTTTGCTGGTACTATTGGAATTTGACTAAAATTAATGCTATAAAATATTTTTGGAGGTACGCTTGGTCTTTTCTAACCATTAATCATTATCAAACCAGCATTTTCAGACCAATGTTTAGAGCATACCACAGTATATTTTGATATAATCAGGGATATTATCTCTTGGTATTGGAGTTATCCATCACAAATGTTCATCTTTGTCTTTAGGTAAACGATAAACAGATACATATTTTTTATTCTTTTTGTCATAGCAAGCATGAAGTAACACAAGACTTTCAAGGCATAGTACATTCAAGATATGTATTTTTTTAATATTTCAGGCAACTTGCTTTAAAATTTCCGCTAAAAAATCAGCCTCGAGTCTCTCTGTTTAATTGTGAGATTGCAAGGCCTGTTATAAAGATAGTCTTAAAAGGGTTTGAACTATTAATTGAGGTTTGAACTATTAATTGAGATGCTTCAAAATTTAAAAAATATTTTAATTTCATTTTTTTATTTTTACTGGTTTATCTTTTAATTGTTTTATTATATGTAAAATTTTGTCCATACTTCAGTTTTTGTTTATTTCTAATCTTCAGTTTAGTTTTCGAAACATTTTTAAAACACGCAAATTATCAAAACATGCAAAGTGTCGTGGCCAAGTTGTCAAAACAAAATACTGTATGCATGGTCATATAAGGTGTGCAACCATAACATAGAGGGCTTGAACAAAGCAAATATTGTTGAATAGCATAGAGGGCTTGAACTTAGGAAATCATTGTTGAATAACGTAGAGGGGAGACATACCAAAGTTTATGTAGCCAAAAAGATTGTGAAAAACTTAAAATGACTATATTTTTGTGACAGAAATTTAAAATAAAGTTAAAACCATACTTGATAAAAATACTAAACAATTTATTGAAGTACAGAACCAAGTAATAAAAAGATATATTCACTTTAATTAACAAACAGAGACAAGGGGAACACTGAGTAATGTCTTTTTCTATGGAAACAGCAATTATGTATGTAACCAAAGTTCTGTTGCATAAGTTCACAAAAAATAAAAAAGATATATAATTATAAAAGATAAACATAGATAAACAGATACTTGCTCACTTCAATGTTACTGACAATTTTCTGATTATTTTTTATCATTTATCCCATTAAGTTTAAGTAACAGAAAATTTCTTTTTATTTTACATGTGATGTTTTTTCTTTTACAAACTTTTTTTGTCTAAATAATTTTTCAAATTTTAAAAACAAAAAGATTTTGGCATTTTTTTGCCAAAATTTTTGTTGTTATGTAGCCATGTAATTATAGCATGATGTAGTCTGGTATTCAGGTGTTTTTCAGGTATTCAGTTGTATTCATAATTTTAACAGTATTTGTGATGGTATTCAGGTATTATTCAGATGTATTCTGTAATGTAAATAATTGTTTTCAGGTATTTAGATGTAATGGTATTCAGATAAATATCATCATAGATAGTAGTTTAAATAGTAAAGATTAAATAATTTGTTATACATATCATCAAAGTAATATATTTATATTACTAGAGCTAAATAAAAACATTTAATCTGAATATAAAAACTTATTTCACTTTTAGATGATAATAGCATTTTTATTTTAACTAGCCAATTGTGACACATAGTGTAAAGTGCACACATATTACATGATGCACATATAGTCAACTGCAAATTTTTGATAAACCATAAAAAATGCTTCTTTTTTATTTTATTTTTGTAGCAGTATTAAATATTTATAGATATAGAGCAATATTACATATTTATAAATTAAAGATCAACATATAAACTACTAAGAAGAATGAACAATGTTAAAACAACAGACCAGATAGATCTCGTATTTGAATAGTGTGTGCATGTCCAGCTAAACCAAATCTTCCTAAAAGTTTTCTTGAATCTTGGTAATCCATGTTAAAGTTTCTCTAGAACCCAAAAAAAAAAAGGATTTTGAGAAATCAACTGTAAATAACTAACAATGGTTCAAAAATAAATATAAAACCATAATTTGAAATAATATAAAATAATAATAACTTATAAAAAAATAAACAAAAATAACTATAATTAAAGTTGCAGATAAAATTAAAAATATGAGTATTATTATTGTAAAAAACTTTATATAATCAAAATATATGTATAAGATATAGTACAAAATATAAACTAATATAATAAATATTGTTATAACATAAATAAAAGCTTTAAATTTTAAGTAATAAATAATAAGAAATAAAAATAATACTAATATTTCATTAAAATAAACTTACTTGAAGGTATTCAACAGATGTCTCATGCAGAGTAAGCTTAAAATTAAAAAAAAATATTTATGTTTAAAGCTTAAAATAAAAATATAGCTTAAAATTAAAATATATGCACAATAAATATTCGCATGTGAGATTGCTGCAAAAGCTTGAAAAATATAAGCTTCTCAACAATTTAAACCTAATTGATTGGCACGTAATGCCTGGCAGCATAGCACCCAGAGCTCAACATCGAATCAGATTTCATCGCGAGATTGTCAGGAACTGCGAAATCAGACATAAGTTTTTTAACAACCGTGTAGTCAATGACTGGAATGGTTTGCCAGATAATGTCATCGAGGCAACATCACTTGATAAATTTAAACGGCTACTAGACAGCTTTCAGTCATAATAATTGCTACAACTCATCATTTACCGTAAATGCCACACAAAAGTGGCCAAAATATGAGTTGGGTATAGATGCATATACTCTGCTGATGATGAGTTTAACAAGGCTGTGGCTTTGTGTAACTTAAATTAACTAACTAAATGCCTATATAATAACTAAATAAAAAAATATTCAAACATTTTTTTAAAAAGTGATTAGAAAATTAAGATTACCTGGTCAGAGGAATGTTGATTATAGAATCCAATCCTCTAGTATAAAAGTAAAAAACTATAAAAATAATTTTTATAATTTGTTTTATTTAATAAGGAAAGACAATTTAGTTAAAATATGAGTTTTCATTTTCTAATATCATTTTCATTTAAACAAAAAAACAAACAAAAAAAAAAACACACGATATAATGGAAAACTGTTTTTTAAAAGTCACATAAAGAATTAAAAGCATAATGCTTTATTATTTTTTTTAAATTTCTTTGCAGTATTTTTCTTCCCACAACTATCTTTTATATTATTACTATTTTTTAATTGTTGTTACTAGCATCTATCATCCAATTAACTCTTAAACATGGCACAAGCAAGCCTGCTGCACTGAAAAACAAGTTGAGCAAGGTACCAGTAACATGGTGGTAATCAAATTCAGAACTATTCGCTTATAGAGTTAGCACTCTACCACTACATTGCTAGATAATTTATGATAATCTATGAAATTCATAGAATATCATAAGTTATCATTATATTAATGATAACTTATGATATTCTATGAATTTTTATAGATTATCCTAAATTATCATTATTCAAAATCATTGATTTATTTTTACTATGAATTAAATTGTAAACAGTATCACAGGCATCTAATTTTGTAGATTTTTTTGTAGACAAAATAACAGATGAAAAAGTTAAAATACTATTAAAAACAAACTTTTGGTCAGAAACAAATTTAATTTTATTTCTAACTAAAAATAAAAAATAATAAAAACAATTGTAAATTTAAAATTTGACGTTTTTCATTTTAAATACTTTTATTAATAAATCAAATTACCAATCTTGAATTTCTAATTAGTTCTCCTTCTACCTGCAAAAAAAAAATTAAAAATAAAAAATGTTGTAAAATATAACAAAAAAAGCATCTATTTAAAAATGTGTGATAGTGCATCATTGCCAATTAAATACAAGTTCAATTAAAAACAAATAAAAACACGATGCTGCAGATAAATAGTTATATCCATTAAAATAAATATATATTTTTATAGTTAAAATAGATTAACAGAATAAACTCTTAGCAACATTACACAGACATTGTTGTATAATATGGTAATATAAGACTCAAACTAATCAAATGTTTGATTGTTTTTCTAACCGTCACAATTGCTAAAGGTGATTACAAGAATCTAAGCTAACATATAGGTAGGATGAATTGGTCACAACTACTCAAATCCTATGACTATGTATTCAACTATGTTTTTTTTTTTTTTTATATTTTACTTCACCTCCTCAAGGCCGAGAAGGCCACTACAGACGAGGAGGCTACTTATTTTGTGGCTATAACCCTCTCTCAACTCTATAACTCCGAAACACGAACCTTGACAAACAAGGCCGCTGCGTGGAGAAACAAGTTGAGCACGGTAGTACCAGGGACATGGTGGGGATCGAACTCCGAACCACTCGTTTATGAAGCGAGCGCTCTACCACTACACCACTACCGCATGTTACCATATGTTCTTACCGATATACGAAGAAGCATGTTGATTATATATTCTTATTAAAACACTAAACAAGCAAAAAATCAATACATCAAAATGACTTAAATGCAAAAAAACTCATTCAGGATAAGCACTGCACATGGTACAAAAAAACTCATTCAAGATAAGCACTGTGCATGGTACAAATTTTGGATAGTATCTAAGATTCTAAACTCAACAACAAACAGCATAAATGAGAAAAATATGCAAAAATTTATTTAAGCCTATAAAGAGTAAGAAAATACAATTTGAATTGTTATTAAAAACAAAACAAAACAAAACAAAAATTTGTTACAATGCAAACACGACAACTCGTTACAAGGCAAACACCAACAAAAAGACAATAGCTAATATATTAAACAAACACTTTCCTGTTTATACTATTCGCAACTAAAATATAATGAACTTCCTGAATTTGAGATCTGTTCCTTAACTCAAACGAACAATAACGCAGATCTTCTTTTTTGTGAAACACAATATTACAGAAATTAGAAAATTTCAATATTCACAAATTGATTGATGGCGTAAGTCCAAAACATTTTAAAAAACTGTGCAACATCATTTTGTATTCAACTAAAAATGATTTTTATGAAAAGTTTTAGTTCAGTACCGAGGCAATGGAGCCAGGCAAAGGTTACGCAACTACATTAAAGTGATAGTCAACTTATTGCAAGTAATTACAGGCCAATTTCACTCACATAAGCCAAATTAATTAATCCATGATAAAACATTTAATAACAAGTAATCTTATCACATCAGCATGGTTTTTTGCCAAAAAAGAGTTGTGTCTAGTACAAGATTTACATAACAAACATCCTGTCGAGATTCTGTTTACTGATTTTGCGAAAGCATTTGACACTATCGCAAGATTATGTTATCTATAAAATTAAATCTCACAGTTATAATAATAAATTTGCTGCATGGATAAAATCATTCTAAAGTAACAGGCAACATTGAGTAGTACTTGGTGAAAACCAGTCTGATGGGGTCCAATTAAAAGTAAAGTAATCTAAGAATTAGTACTTGGACCGCTTTTATTTACAATATTTATAAATGACATTCCTTTTCAACTTTTCTACATAACAAAAATATATGCCAATAATAGAAGACATATTCAACTGGATGAAATCACTAAGAAATTACTAAATTATATAGATAATATAGACAAATGATATCACGTTAAAACTTAATGTAAGTAAATGTAAAATTTTGCAATTTGTTAAGTATAATCAATAAAAGAGAATCTATCTATTATCGGAATGGTTTCATTAAACACACTTTTGAATTCTACACCATCTCATTGGCTAAAATATTGTAGTCTTTGTTTGATCTCTTTTCGAATATGCAGCACCAATCTAAAATTCATCAAAGAATTACAATATATCAGCTCTTGAAAAAGTTCAAAGAAGAGCAACTTGAACAAGAAGCCTCTTACATCTGAGTTATGAATCACAATTAAAAAACTTTAATATTTTAACACTAGAAACTTGTAGGTTAAGAGGAGAATTAATTGAGTGCATTAAAATTGTCCACAATATAAAACAAGTTAAATGGTGTACATCTATATCAAAAATAATAATAAAACCTGAAGAGTTATTGGAACAATCTGCACACAGATGAAATCCCATTTAATTCAAAAAGGAGTTAATAAAAGAATGTTGTTCATTAAAAAAGAACTTTTTTCTTAACAGAATAGCCACTTTATAAAATCGTCTTCCTCCATCTATCCTGCTATCTACATCAGTTGAAGTATTCAAAAAAGAATTAAACGAATATATTAAATCCGAACAATAAGTCACCAGCTGATATAGAGTGTTCAATAACACACTCTTATTTAACATTGTAATCATTAAAATTTTTGTTATAAATTATTTTAATTGTTATTGTGTTAAACTTCAGCAATAAATAGTTATTATTATCATTAAAATATGCTAGATATTTAAAATAAAAACAAAATATATCAACTACACAAAATATTTAAAGAAAATTTATTAATAAATTACTCAATAATTTTTCTAAACAAACATCTTATACCAAATTAAGTTGGCCTGTTAACAGTTTTAGTATAGTACTTTTTCCAACTCCATTTGGTCCCACAATGGCAACTATATGAATAATAAAAGTATAAAAAAAAGAGAAATTAAAAAAAAAAAGTTTTTAACTTTATTTTATAAAATTTATTATAAAATTTTAAAAAATTATATTACTCCTTGAACTCATATCAAGACCAAACTCAATATTTTTAAACAATAATGGTTGACCTTCATACCCAAATGACGCATCTATATGAAAATAATTAAGAAATAAGTAACAATTGTCTTTCACAAACTACACAATAATTTTTAATTATGAAGTAATGAAAAAATTTAAATGAAAATCAAAAAAGTGATGGTTACACATTTTTTTAATTTTATAAAGAAATTCTTTTTTTTTCAGCAATAATGCTGGAAAAAAAAAATTATCACTGTCATTCATAAAATTGAAAATACATCAAAAAAACACAGCACAAACATTTAGTAATAAATGATCATTAAATCAACAAAAAAGGTTGCAATCGCAACCATAACAGTGGTGTACCTTCATGGTTGTCCGGTGACATGGGATGACATTTTCTCCAAGGGCGACTGAAATTTTAAAAAATGCCTGCAGGATTGAAATTTAAAAAAATGTCTGCAGAACGAGCAGACAGTTTGTTACTTATAAGAGTGTGTTTATCAAGAAAACTATATTTTAATTGAAGTAGAAAAGCATCTAGAAAAATAGAGTGAATATTCAAATAATATTTAAAACTTATTAAGGAACTTAAACAACTTTATAAAAATGTACTGTATAAAAACTTTAGCGTTATGAAAAATGTTACTAATGGTCCGTAAAAATACGTCTTAATTTTAAAATCAACAAATAAAAACTTTATATTGGTTGATTATAAAATTAACACTTGCTTTTACGGACTATTAGTAATACTTTTCAAAATGGCAAACTTTTTATAAAGTACGTTTATATAAAGATATTTAAGTATTTGTAAAAGTTCCTAAAATTTTTATAATATTTGAATATCTACTTTATATTTTCTATATGCTAATCTACTTTTATTAAAGTTTGGAATTACTAATGTTGTTTGAACAAAGGATGAACTATAAAAGTTATAAGTACTTTAAAAAAGTATAAACACTATTATAGTTATATTACTTTTATAATGCAGTTAGTGACTAGAGCGTCGTTACTTTTGCAGTTGTAAGTTTTTTTTATTTATTATTTTTTTGTTTTTGTTTTGTTTTAAAGCTTTTTCCCTAACAAACTTATAATAATTAGCTCTTTAAAAACAAAGTACACGACTTTGCATAAATTAAATTTTAAAAATATCATTAGTTTTACCCAAGAAAAAATACAAAAAAAAACTTTTACACCGGATTACTGATTATCATAGCGGACAATTTAAATGAGAAATAAAAACTGTTTCAGTCCCTCACAGGGCAACTGGGAAAAAAACCAGAGGGTACACCACTGCCATAGACTACTACAGTACAACCTTAACACATGCTTGAATACTATTATACATTTTGCTGTCTATTAACAGCTCACAGAAAAATGAATAAAAAATAGCAACCAAAAGAAAGTTTTTAATATATATGAGAACAGGTTATTTTAGAATTAATTTTTATGACTATTACTCTGTTACTGTTTAACTCTAGCCATTCATCTATAGATCTAGCTATCCATCTATAGATCTAGCTATCCATCTATACATCTAACTATCCATCTATAACTCTAGCTATTCATCTATAACTCTAGCCATCCATCTATACATCTAGCTATCCATCTATTCATCTAGCTATCCATTTATAACTCTAGCCATCCATCTATACATCTAGCTATCCATCTATAAATCTAGCTATCTATCTATAACTCTGGCCATCCATCTATACATCTAGCTTTGGATCCAATTTATCTATACATCTAGCTTTGGATCCAACTTAAAAAATTATGTACACAATATATCATAATACATTTTAGGTATTAAAATATATATTACACTTATGAAACATTTCATGAAAAAAAGTATATAACTAATATAAATAAAAATACTAAAGAAATATAGATTAAATGTAGCTTTAAAAAAAAAAGTTTTTAAAAATATTTAAAAACCAAATCAAAAATTTACTTTTTAATCCTAATATTGGTGGATTTAAAGGAGGCGGACTTTTGAATGTAAACTTTACTTTATACTCTTTAGGTCGGAAAAGTAACTCTGCTTGTTGAGTGGATGCCTTTAAACAAAAAATATTTTAAACAATTTACTAGGATTGTAAAATCAAGAATAACAAATTATGAACTAAATATGAAAATATAATAACATATCGAAATTTAAAAAATCAATTTAATCTAATAGATACTCTAATATAATCAAAAACTCTTTTCTATTTTTTTTTTTTTTAGTTAACAGAAATAATTTACATTTTTTCCTTCTAGCATAATATTTCACATTATACTGAGAAAAGTACTAGTTCTGACTTGTATTTCAACTATTTTTTTTTTTAAATAAAGTAAGAAAAAAATTCCAATAGTTTTTCATAACCATATAAATTTTGGATCATTATCTGATATATAAGATTTAAAACCTGCACAAAATATAGTATTTAATTTTAAAGGCAATCACATTAAAAAGGGTGTGTGACATTCAAAGCAATTTATTTTTCTATTCTGTTAGAATCAAAATGAGGACAATAGTATAAAAAACTAAAATTACAAATAGAATAAAATTAAAATGAACACCAGGCATTAAAATAAATATGCAAATACAAGATTATTAGATATTTAATAACACTATAACAATTATTATGAGATAATAAATATGCCACTCATCACTTTTTTAATATAAACATATATACAAAAAACATCTTACAAATTATGTATACTTTTAAACCAGTTTCAAATAAAAACTAAATAGTTTTACAATGACATATGAACAGCAATATAAACATATAAAGCAAAGAAAAATTTTGCAGGGGGTAAAGAAAATTTGTTTCTTAAATAAGCTATTTTCTAGAAACAAAGTTCTATAAATTGAAAAAATTTTTTAGCCTAAAACAATTTGTTTAAATTAAACCTCTTCTAATTCTTTTTTTGACATATTTTTTTCTTTTTTCCGACTTGTTGTGACTTTAGCTTGAGCTTCCTAGAAATTTATAAGTAAAAACACTTAAAATAATTATTATATAAATGTTATTTATATAGAATATAAAATAAGATAATATAACATAAACCATCATTAAGCTTTATATTATAATATTAAACTTCATATATAAAATAAAATCAATTATACTAATTAATAATTTTAAACTATATACAAACAATTATTAGTTATATTTATAGCAAATTATAAAACAATAATTATAACTATTATCAATAAGTTCAGGATTTGGTTGGTAAAAAAATTTAATGACAAAATCATAATTGAACACAGTTCTGCACATATAAGCTAATAGAACAAAGTTCTGCACATATTAACTAATAGAACACAATTCTGCACATATCAACTAATAGCTAAAGTGGGGCAGGTGAGTTTTTTTTTCCACAGCAACATCAGCAAAATGAGTGTGAATCAGATAGTATAATTTCTCGAAAAAAAATTTATAAAAAAAAAAAAGAAAAATAAAAAAAAAAAAACTGAGAACATGAAAAAATTTACAAGAGAAAAAAAAAAGTAACATTCTGTATTTTTATTATATATATATATATATATATATATATATATATATATATATATATATATATATATATATATATATATATTTGTATATTTTTTATTTGTATACATTGACTATGTAATTGTAAACTATTATACAACTTTTAGTTTTTAAAATTTATCAAACACAAAATAAAACATTGCTGGTCTTGATTGATTATGTGAATATTTGAAAATCCACAAAAAGAGTTTTGTCTCAGGACAATCACATCTTTTGAAGAAATAATAATTTTGATACCAAACAACCTACTGCCCTCCCTCAGATTGCAATATGTTTTGATTTGCTGAATGTTTGCTGAATGTTTCCTTTTAAAAATTTTAACATTAAAATCACGACTATGTAAATCACGACTATAAATGGTAAATCATATTAGTAAACCAAGAAAATGCAGGGATGGTTTTACTCATAAAGCATTGGTCACACAGGCATGTCTGAATTAATGAGGCATTGGTCACACAGGAATGTCTGAACTCATAAAGCATTGATCACACAGGGATGTCTGAACTCATGAAGCATTGGTGATTGTGAAGGTATTGAAAAAAATAGAACTTGTTCTTTTATTCTGCAAAGCTTCACCTTTACCTAGCACTAATTAACTAACCTTACAGAAGAATTGTATCACAAGATGCACCAATAATTGAGTAACTTTTATATTTTTATAGTTTAAAGACTTGTAAGTTTTTTGCTCGTTCTTCAAAAGATTTAAAAAAAATTTATATAAAAATTTATTATGATATTTATTTTTATTTTATTAATAAGCATTTAATGTTAATGCTTTATTGTAGCAGCACTAAGTTATTAATTTATTTTAAATAATACAATATTTACAAAACAATAAAACAATTTAATTTAGAAAAGTTCTAGTTTTGATCAACATCACCAGCTCATGTCAGCATAATTTGCTTGGTTGTCAACTGCCTAGAAATTATTATATTGAACTTCAAAATAATGATAAAAAAGTCTTATTTAGTAACAATTTTTGCATGTTGAAAGTGATGGTACCAAGTACTTGAAACATCCAAAATATTGAATGTCACTTGTACACTTACCACTGTTGTAGCCAATGCCTGCAAACTATAAATATATGTAATTTTAGTCGCAAAGCATTGTGGGATGTCTTGCGGGACCAAGTAATCATAAACAACGCAACTCTTAGTGAAATATTTATACCTTTGCATTATTCTTACCAGAGGGCTTCCCATTAAAAAACTTTTCTTTTATAAATTAAAATAATTTTAAAACTATTTCATAACATTGCTTATATAACATTTATATATCATCTAACATTAATATGTTGACGCAGTTGTAAATTTGATGTAGATTTAGCATGTTCTGCATAAGTCATTTTAATCATGTTATCACTGTATTCGTTTCATATTATTTTAAATATATACTCCATATTAGTTTAAATATATACCCCTTAATTAGATGCTAAATATATAGTTAATAATACTGAGAAAAAAAACAACAATAAGAAATAAGAAATATATTGTTTCAAGAATTATCATTAAAATAAAATCAAGCATGGATAATGCAAGCTAACTTGTTTTTACATGTCTTGTTTCGTGGTGCCAGATCACGATCATAAAACTTTATATAATAAGATATTCTCATATAAACATAGTGTCTGATTAAACTTTCTTCTAAATGAAAAGCATGATCAATATGTTCATCATAAAGAAATGTAAAATTGCAATCGTTTTTTATTACTTTAATAATTTGTTGTATAATATTGTTTTAGTTAATATAAGTTTCATTTGGGTTATAAAAACAATTTCCATTTCGTGAAGTAAGTTTTGTAAAAAAGAATCAGAATAAAATAAGTTACTTTAACAGGGTGTCACACTTGAAAAAACTTGTACACATTTATGACAGACTTGAACTTTCTTTATCAAATCATCTGCAATTAATTTCAAAACCTGTTTAATTGACTGTGAAACTGAATCAGTTGAAACAGTTTGTAATGCGTAAGGCTTTTGTTTCTTTTTAAATAATGCAGTTGGATGTTTGAAAATCAATTGTTCATTTGCAGAAATTTGATTCTCAAATACTATATTGGTAATTGAGTCAATGGTAACTGCAGCTGAGAAATCTGATTCAGGGAGGCAGTTACTGTTAGAGTTAAATTGTTCTATTGAAAGGAGTACTGAGACATTTTTATATGCTGATTTATACTGCATTGCTGTTGGTCTGTCATTCCAGCCTCCTTTGCTTCGTATTAATGCAAAAAAATTTTCTAAACAGTCCTGATTAAATTGAGCTGTGCAAACATAAAAAAAATCCTCATGAAGCAACTCGTTTGCAAGACAAAGAATATTAGAAATAGTGACATCTTAACCCCAATGACTGGATATATTTTTTTGGCTGCAAGCACCAGAAAAATGCCAACCCTTAATCCAAACTCTTAAATCTTCAAACTTTTGTATAAAACTACTATTTAGAATTAAAGCAGAGCGTGTTGATTAATCTGCTTTTAGTTTTCGAGAGTTCAAGATGTCAAATAAAATATCCATATTTTTAATAAAAATGGCTGTTGACAAAACATTTTCAGGCAATAGTTTTGCATTCAGTCAAAGCAGAAGCAACTTGACTACTAAACACTTGTGTTGCCAATTTTACTCGCATGGCTAATAGTGATCCTGGATCTAAATGACGATCAGTCAACTTTGGCACAAGACGCACAGCATTTGTCTAAATTATAAAGTTCTTCCAGATGCTTCCACAATATTATTTTACCATCAGATAAAATGTCATGTTTTATTAAATTATTTCTAACATTTTTTATAAGATGTGGTGGATCAAATATTATATAAACATTTGCTCATGTAGTTGGATGTAAAATTTGTTGTTTAAAAAATGAAAAACCTAAAAATTTGAGAGCTCTTATATTACTTGAGCTTTGATCACAAACAAGACATCTTACAGTTAAACCTATTTTATGTAGATAAATCATGGCATTATTTACTATCTTAGCTAAATTGGTTGAACACATAGTAGTATTACTGTAAAAATATGCAATTGGTTGTTTCCATTTTGTTGATAATCCACGGACCATCAATACAAGTACTTGGTTTACTGGTTTTCCATTAGACTGAATCCCAATGATCTTGTCATTGCTTTTGTCATAATCAAGATGTTGCTTTAAAGATATTTCATCAAAAACAAGGCTACAGTTTCGTTCCAATTTTTTTATGATATTTACTCGCATTTTTATTAAAGCCATAACCTTATTGGAAAAACCAGAATCAAGTGTTCCAAAAGATTTTTAAAGAAACATTAAAATAGTGCTTCTAGAAGGTAATGAAAAAACATTTCTAAACATTTTGAAAGCTTGTGGACTGCAATACATGATTCTTAAAGCTAAAATTTTATCTTCAATAGTCGAACGTTTTCCCTGTTTGACACGATTATTCATACAAAATTGACTTTCAAAAAATTGAAGTTGAGTATTTGTTAAATATTTTTAGACAAACTAATAATATGTTCTATTGAACCATCACATTTTTTTAACATATCATGCTTTATCTTCAGGTTTTTAAGTTTTTTTTTCAAGTTAACAAATCTTAACTTGAGATGATAAATATTTATTTTTAAAAGTAGTTTTGACAGTTACATTATTTGTACTGCTATTCTAAACACTATTTATTTTATTTAATTGGACTTTATCGTTGATTTCTTTTTTTTGTATTTTATCTTGTAAATGAAATCTGTTTGTAGGCTGTTTTCTCTTTAAATTTAAGGTAGAAGGTTGATTTGAAAAGTTAAAAATTGTTGGTACAGCAGTTACAAGAGCTCTTTTACTACCATTATTGGCAAGATAGTATTGGGAAGAATCAAAATGTTCACTACAAATAGTATAGTTAAGATTAAGTTCTTCACAAAATTTTGTATCGAGATCTTGACGACAATTACGAACCCAAAGCTTGCATATAAATAATAGGTTAAACCTAATTAATTTAGTGGATTTATTTAGAGCATATTATGTATAAATATTTTTTGTTTCATAAAATTTAAAGTAAAACAGTGTTTTAAAAGCTTCTTTAAATTCTTTTTAAAATAAATAAATTTGTTTTAAAGGTTTTTAGTATATCAATTTAGTTAGTATATCAAAATAGTTAGTATATCAATTTTTGATATACTAGTTATTTAATAAACTCGATTTGACGAATAACTACTTACCTATTTTTATCTTTTGGAAATCTAAAAAAAGATTTTCCAACATTCTTTCCACGCTTGTTTACACAACTGATGGCTGAGCAAAAGGCTGGCATATTTAATATTGTATTTATAGAAAAAGCAACTTAATTTTTGAAAAGCAAAATCTAATAATATTATAATATATAATATATTTAGTAGACAAAAAAAATGTATAGTAAATTTACGTTGTTTATAATATGGTCCCGCAAGACATCCCATAATTCAATGTACGGGCAATTACACATAAATATATGGATTTTTAGTCGAGTTGGCAGGCTTTGGTTGTAGCTCACTGTTTCATCTCATCTCAGATAACTTTCTTCCTCCACCAATTTCTTTGCTCCAAAGAAAAAATAAGTTTGAATGCAATGATACAAAGAACAACTTTGCAAACCTCTTTTTAAGCTTATCACTTAACAACATAATTTCGCCATAAACAAAAAAGATTCTTAAAAGATTGCCTTTATTATGACAACAAATGACCAAGAATTCAAAATTCTTTACCAAAAAGAATTTGTACCAATGGATTCTTTTACCAAAAGGAATTTGCACCAGTGGATTCTATTTTGCCACTATCACATCAATGAAACAACTTAAAATAGTTTTTCGCAAAAAAAAAAAAAGGAAAAAAAAAAAAAAAAGAGAGGGGGGGGGATCAAATTCATTTTCCAAAAAAAAAAAAAAATGAATTAGATCCTCCACTTGATCCCCCAAATTTGATCTTCTTTGTTCTCTGCTGTTATAAATTTTAAATAGTGTTGCAGAAGATATAAAACAATATTTCAACAATAAGTTCTATTATAAATGTGTGAGGGAATGTGTTATTGATAACCCTTTAAAGGTAATGAAAATTCAAAAAAAGCCAACAACTAGTCATAAACAGTTAATAAAAATTTTTAAATTATTATTAAAGGACTAAAACAATTTAATGAAACTTCTAAAATATTTTAAATTTTGTGTTATATTTCTCTAACTTATATTAAAAAATCTGAAAAAACTTACTGCAACTTTTGATGACTTTCCTGAGGCTTTTAAAGCTTTTATTTGCTTCTCCTTTAAATAAATAATAAAAAATAGTTTAAAAATTGATTTAAAACATATTTGATAAGTAATACTTTGCTCAAAAACAAAAGAAATTACTTTAAAAAATAAAGAAAAATACTATTAAAAACTTAAAAATAATTAACCTTAAGTTATTTTTTTTTAATCTATAGGATTAGTCTGCCATTTTATTAAGTCTTTTGTTTGTTAAATAGTTTTAAATTTACCTCAGGCAATACATTTTGTTTGCTAAATAGTTTTAAATTTACCTCAGGCAAACAAAAATAAAAGCACTTTTGAAATTTTATAAATACATAACATATGTAAAGATATTATACACTGTAAAAAACGAAAGGGAGAGAATTTTTTAAAAAGCTTATAATTTCTACAATCATCAAAACACTGATAGAAATTTGTTGCACATATGTCAATATAGTTATGTCAGGAGGCTGAATAAGCGCGAATTGGCATATGTGCAAACTGACATAAGTGCGAAGCACTGCAAAAACTGGCATAAGTGCAAACTGGCTTAACTGCAAATTGGCATAAGTGCGCCAAAAGATTTTGCAACCATTGGCAAAACCAAGTGCGAATTGAAAGATATGCTAAGTGCGAAAGATATGCAAATATTTGCGTAAGTGCGGATTGGCATAAGTGCAAACTGGCATAACTGCGAATTGGCATAAGTGCGCCGAATAAATTAAAAAATTTTGGAATTGGCATAATGGCAAACAAGAATAAGTGCGATGCAGTTACAAAAACTGCCATAAGTGTGAACTGGTATAAGTGCGAATTGGTATAAGTCCGCCAAATAAAATTGCAAATATTGGCATAAGTGCAAATTGGTATTTCGCACTTATACCAATTTGCACTTATACCAATTTGCACTTATGCCAGTGTTTGCAAATTAATTTGGCGCATTTATGCCGATTCACACTTATACCAGTTTTTGTAACTGCTTCGCGCTTATGCCAATTCGCACTTGCACCAATTTGACTTATACCAATGTTTTTAAATTTATTTGGCGCACTTATGCCAATTCGCACTTATGCCAGTTCGCACTTGTGCCAGTTTTTGCAACTGCTTCATACTTATGCCAGTTTGCACTTATGCCAATTTGCACATATGCCAATGTTTGCAAAATCTTTTGGCACACTTATGCCAGTTCGCACTTAAGCCAGTTCGCACTTGTAACAGTTTTTGTAACTGTTTCGCATTTATGCCAGTTTGCACTAACAACATTTGCACTTGCCAGTTCGCACTTATGAAATTCGAGCTTATTCAGTTGTCCCAGTTATGTTATTAATGTGCTCAGGTACTTAGTCCTAATTAGCTACAGATGGTCTAAAAATTAATAAGTCCGTCCTGCTACTCCAAAAAATGCTGCTGTGGAGGCAAAAAAAAAATTAAATTAAAGGGATCCCTAAGTGCTTCAAACATATGATCTCATATGAAAGAGCATAAAAAAAAAAATATGTAAGTTTTTTTCTTTTTCACTAAATTGTAATAATAAATGCATGCTAACAAAAAGCAATTGCCGAAATCACTGAAAAACAACTCCATTTTGATTTTATTTTATATATATTCGGTATAATATTCGGTTGAAAGACGTCGTTAAAAAAAAGATATTAAGTAATAGTTTTTAATAGTTTAGAACTTATAAAAAAGTCTTACAGGGCTCGTATTAAGCGTATCGCGATCGCAATTGCTTTTCACACTTTTGTGATTAAAAAAAATCTTTTCGCGATTTGTTTTTTTTTTTGGTTGTTTAATTACTTTTTTTTCTAGCTTAGCATTTTTTTTAGCAATTCTTAAAAGTAATGTTTTTATCATAAAGAACGTCACACAAAATTTATTATTCTGAATAGATTTGCTCTTTCGCGCGGAGATTTTCTTTCAACGTTAAACATTTTTAAATTTAAATCACTTTAAATCTCTGCGTGGAAAATTTTTACTAGGTCGTTAAAGTGAAAAGTTGAAAAGTTGGTTTTTATCTTTGTTTATCAAAACTTCATGTTTAAAATAAGGCTTAAAAACGTTAGAGCAAAAAAAAATACTGACTTTTATTTGCATTTTTAGTTTGAAAAAAAAAACTAATAAAAAAGAATTAATTGTTATTATTATTAATTCTAATAATTATTAATTAATATATTATTAGTTAATTCTTTTTTATTAGTTTTTTTTTCAAACAGTATAAAAATGCTAATAAAAACCAGCAATTTTTTTTACTTTAACGTTTTAAACCTTATTTTAAACGTTAAGTATAATTCGATTTATTTAACCAAATTTTTTTGTTTCATCTTTTATTGGAAAACGTGAAATAGAAAAATTGAATAAAAACATCAACCATTTAAATGAAAAACTTAATTATATTTAAACTTTTATTAGTCCTTTATTCAAGAAACAATAAATTATAAAAAACGTGGTATCTAATTTTTTATTAAGTTTTTGACGATGTTTTTTGATTTATTGACGATAAACTTTCATGTGTCTAAATCAATATTCATTTGTTAAAAACTGACTAAAAAGAGTTTAAAATTTGACTTCTATTCATTTTTGGCCGTGGAATTGCCCTTATAACACAAATATATAAATTAAAATTAAAAAAAAATTTAATATACAAATATATTTTCACAAAATGCTACAAAACTTATTCTTGTAAGTAATTGTGTTAGTTGAAAAAAAAACGACTTCACTTTTAAATTTAATTACCAACTAATAAGTTTGCAATAATGACATTTTGTCTACTTTGTTTATTTTGACGTACAAACGTTAGTTTTTTGAGGCAATAGAGTCAATAAACTTTGGACAAGACGCATTTTTTTTAATCGAAGAAAAGCGTTTTTTTGAAAATTAAATTTGTTAGTGTGCGTTCATTATTACGTTTTAGAAAAAATAATATACATCAAACATTTTTTTTTTTAATGCTCTTTCATATGAGATCATATCTTTATAGCACTTAGGGATCCTTTTAAGTCTTTTTTTGCTATATGTATATATTTTTTGCAACAAATATATATGCTCAGATTGAAAAAATTGAAAATGTTTTGTATAAAGGCCAGATTTAACATATTGTCAAATCTGCCTCTTAATACAATTAAATACGCTCCTTAATACTCATAACTGCGACCCTTTTTCATGGTCCTCATTTGCTTTGTAAATTTGATATAGCCTTGATGAATGGTTGACATTTTGTTTTTTAAATCTTAAATTTTGAAAAACGCCATGAGAAATGTTATGCAACTGTTATCTATGTTAGAGATACTTAAGTTAAATGTTTACACAACCAATAAGGTTAATCTGCGCATCTACAACAATAAAAAGAAGATTTTCTTTTAAAAGTAGGAAGGTGTTTTCATTCAATTGATTTTTTCTTTCGAAAAAAACAGGGTAAGAGATCTAATAAGCTCTAAGCATGCAAATAATTTTTTTTACTGTAAGAGCAATGTTTAAATGAATTATTTATGGACCATTCATAAAAATATTATAGTAAAGAAATAGAGGATAGATAAATAGCTGAAAATAAGTATAAAAATATATAAATATAAATAGGTAGGTGTGAAATAAACTCCCCCAAACTCATACTTTACGGGTCATGATAGCTAGTATTATATACATAGATTATCCAGGTCATATTTTAAAAATCCGGAAAATCATTAGGGTAAAATATGCGGAAAAAATCCGGAATATATTTTCCCTTATATTTCTCTTAATTTTGCTTTCGGCTGATTTTGTTTTTAATTTTTTTTTAACTTTTTTTAATTTTTGTAAGAGTGATGAGTGAAAAAGCCTATAAAATAAATATATTACAAAAATATCTTCCTAAACTTGTATGAATGGAAAACATTTTTGATATCCGGAAAATCTAAAAGTTGAGAAAAATATCCGGAAATATCCGGAAAAAGATAATCCCTGTATATATTTGTTACATTAAGGATATTTATTTGCAGTTCATATTTTGAACTTAGAAAAACAAACTCAAATATGACAACAGTATTTCATACAAGTACAAACATAATGACATTTTATCAAAACTAGAGTACATAGATTAGCCATCTCAGAGGTATAACTATCAGAAATATAGACTAAATTAAAGCAAGAAAAAGAATAGAACCTTGAGATTGTCAAGAGATTACTGGATATAGAGTGTTGCCTTAAGGACAACTTTAATACTGTAATTAAAAAGAAATGAATTAATAATTTAAAAAACTTTCCATCAATAAACCATCAAATTTATCAAAACTTTTATCAAATTTATCAAAACTTTCAAATTTAAAAAACTTTCCATCAATAAACCATCAAAAATATCAAAAGCCATATATATATCAAGAGCAATAGCCCTTGCCATATATGAAAAATTCAAACACCTCTTGCACTCCATCACCATAGATTATGTTATTACAGATTCATACATAGATTATGTTATTACAGTTAAAAAACCAGCAGTAGAGAAATCATTATTAATTGCGTAGGAGTTGATGCGCTTAAGATGAGATATTAAAAGTTAATTGAATGCTCACACTCCTTGCTGATTGAAGTTGTTGGCTAAACAAAAATATATACATATATATATATTTTTTTATTTATTTAGGTGCCTTTATAAGATATTAGTTAGGTATTTTGTGACATTTTTTAAACTCAACATGTGCCATATTAAATTTTAGCTTTTTTTCTCTATCTCATAATTAATCATTATAAAAAAAAATTAAGCACTACTTCAATAAATATTTATATTACTTCAATAAATATTTCCTGAAAAAACTCAATAAGAATTAGAAAAAATAATATTTCCTACTTCTATTGCTTCTTTTGTTACAAAACAATCAAATTATAAGAAAGATTTAAAAGAAAATTTAGAGTTGCATTATGCGTCAATGTACAAAAGTGGATCAATCCATATTAATATGCCCTTTATTTAAAGTTTCCAAAAAAAGAGAAAGAAAAAAAATGTATTAATGACTAAATTAAACAACATTTTAAAATTTGATCCTAAACCTTTTTTCTTTGACCCTAACTTCTTTTGCACACACTGTTAAGCAAGAACAAATGTTTTTTTACAGTTTTGAACTTAAGACAAACTTACACAAAAAAAAGTCTAGTGAATACATTCCCTGAGGATTTAGGTTTCATACAAACATTGACTGAGGACTTAGGACACCCACATCAGATTTGGGGTTGTGTAGGCAGTATAAACTTTTTAAAATCAAAAACCTTTTTTTTTTCAGTATTCTTTTTTTCTAAAAAGTTAAAGCTGTCACCCAAAACTGTAAAATTTACTCTAAAATACTAATCTTAAAATACTTTATACTTTTATCTCTGGCAATTTTAGTGGTTTGGGAATAGAAGTGATTTGCACAAAAACAATGAATATTCAGAAATGAATATTTGGTGATGTGGAGATTACTAAATACTAAAAAAAAATAACTTGCAATAAAATGATATGCAGGCTATAAATACATCAAAACAGAAATACAAACTTGTTTTTCATATGCTTTTTCATGTTCTCTAAGTTTTTGTTTATACATCTTTTTGAATGATGCTAAAAATAATATTATTAAAAACATATAGATAGAACATTACAGAGTATAAGTAAATAAAGACTTAAATAGATATATCAATACAAATAAAGATAAGATTATAATAATATTAACAAATAATATTTTAACAATGTTTAAACATTATTCTAAATATTAAAACAAAAACATTACTCAAAAACTCAAAAATCTTACAGTAATTTCCTTTATAATAGAACAGCTTTTGTTGATCTATAAATGTATAACAAAAAAAATCATAAAAACAATAAAAATAAAAACACATTAGTTTTATCATATTCATAAAGTAAAAAGAAAAAGTAAACAAATAAACAAATATGTATTCTGTTTGCTAATTGTCATTGGTAAAAAGAATGCTAGAACATTAAAAGTTTACAGGTTTCTCTAGTGACATTTAAAGAAGTTTCTTAGAACTTCAAGATTTACCAAATGAGTGAGAAAAAATTGCCTAAAGCATAACAGATGGATGAAAAATGAATTTTATTTCATATTGATTAAAAAAACCATGGTTTTATAGATAAAAGTTGTAAATCTCTTATATCAGCATATCAGCACACTTGCTTATATGCTGATATAAGATATTTTCATATCTCTTTCTTCAAATTTTCTTTTTAAGAATGTTTTTCATTTTTCTAATACTAGCATCATCAGTTTTAAGTGCATACAGAAGTTAATGTTGATTTGAATAGGTTCTCTATAGCTGAGATTAAAAGCTAATAAAAAATGGCCATAATTGTATATGTATAAAGAGCCCAGAAGTTTGAGCCTTGTCCAAATTTTACAATCTAGTAAACATAGCTCAAACAAACTATTTTTATTTTGTCAAGAGATTAACTTCCCACAAGACTACAAGCAACCACTACATGTTTTGTCTTACTAGTGAGAAAAAGTTACAAGGTTACAGTAGGTTACATAATGTAAACATACAAGACAAAGGCTCTGACTAACTAAAAAAAGTAACAAATCAACAATATTTACAATAATTAATAATATTTACAATAACTTATAATTTTAGACAATTTTTGAATGTCTAAATGAGAGGACCTCATTAGAAGAGCCAATCCAAATATGACAACAGTACAAGAATGAATAAAGGATTTATAAAGGCAGAACAATAAAAAGTTGCAATGCTAGCAGATGTTAAACTTGTAACTGATTTTAAATACTGTTTCCATATAAGGTCAGAAGTAAATGATAATCTGAGAAGAGGTAAAGTAGGAAACTCAGTAAGAGTATTGATTTTTAGTATAAGATTTATAACAATATTGTGATAATTATTGCCAGTAAAGAGCAATTATTGCCAGTAAAGATTAATTATGGCCAGTAAAGAGCCTTTCCATCACTATTTTCATTTAACACACAATAAAACTTTTCTGTTATTACAGATAACAAATCAGTAGCAGAACAAGAAGAAAAAGTTAAACAAATCAGTAACAGAACCAAATCTAATATTGATTGTTAGAGTAAGTTATTGGAATCAAAATAAAATAATCAGAAAAGGAAAAAAGAAATAATTATTTAGAGGTTGCCGATCAACACTGATCGGCTGAAAAGATAAAAATTGAAAAGTAGACAATCAAATTTTTCTTTAGTCTGTATCAAATTTTTATAATTGTAGTAATTTTTGCTTCACACTTTTAATTTTTTTGCTTGATAGCACTAAACAATTTTTTAAATGTTTTGTTATAAATACACTTTAGCACGCCCTTATAAAGAAAAAAAAAAAAAAAAAACTAGACAGTTGTTTGGCCTAAGTATATAAAAATTTATGATAAGTTGCTCGGCATATTCTAACTCATCATAAAAATGAAATTAACAATAAGAACAAATAAGAAATTAATTAAGTTGATCAAGTTAACTTTTGATTCTTCATTCGATTATGCCAAGTCATCCTTTCAAAACATTTAAAAAAAAAAAAAATTTTATCACCTTTAGATATTTTTTAGTGCATATTAGATTGTCATTAACTTTTATGATTTTTGTTACCATCATCTATATCTATTTATGATTATTTTTTTATATTTATATTACAAAAAAATTTCATTATATTTATAATATAAATATTTTTATTATATTTATTATATAAAATATGTTTTTTACATTCTTTTAGTTAAAACTATAATTTAAACTAAACGATTGTTTGCAACATTGAAAACGATTGCTCAGTATAACATTTAAATTTGACAAAAATTAGATCACTCATTCAAAGCTTTTAAAATTCAAAGTTTTTTTGAAATTGAAAAAAACACGATATATAGATCAAAGTATAACTCATTCAAAGTTTAACTGCAAAAATGCTTTCTCACGTTCTACGCAATAAAAAAGCTATTCAAACATTAATCGAACTTTGTTGGTTTTGGGTACCAAAAAGAAAAGTTAAAAAAAAAAAAACGATAGAAGAAATATTTGGAACTTTTAAGAAAACATTTGTTCATTGAAACTTTAACGCAAGAATATTTATTTGAAAAACAAATAAAATACTGTTTGTAATTGTAATTTTCTTTCATAGATTTTTATTTTATTCTTAGCGGGTGTTTCAGATCCTGATTTCTTTTTAGAAGAAACAATCTTCTGTCGCTTTTTCCCGCATTTTCCAAATATTTTTATACTTTTTATATAATTTTACTTTTAAAACTTATTTTCTAAAAATTTCAAACAAAAACAATTTTATTTTGCTTAAAGCAAATTGATGTTATGATGTATAAATTATGATGTTTTATGAAGTCAACATTCTTTCTACCAATCATAAACTGGCATTATTTACTACTTTTCAAAATTTTTCACATAAAACGTTATTGTTTCTAAATAATAATGCTAATTTATTAAAAAATTCATTCATTAAAAAAAATTTGATTCATTTAAAAAAATTAAATTCATTCAAAAATGTTCATTAACGGGTAAAAAACTTTTTTTTTAATATAAATCTTGTAATACCCTTTTAACCAACGTTTTACTTTTAACGTTTTTGTGTCAATGCTTTTACTTTTGTCTTATTAAGGTTTTTTGTGACGTTTGTTTTAAATGTTTTTGAATTTTTAATATAAAGTTTGACATGCAATACTTGCCAATCAAATTTGATCGTCCAGAATTGATTTTGGGAGATCATAATCTAATTTTTTCCAAAAGTAGACGATCGTTGATTGGCCGCTATTTCGAGCACTGCTCAATATTTTTTATATCAACTTGAACTTGTTAATTTTGATTATTTCCATAAGTTATGAAAACTTCATTTATTCTCATTTATTAAGACCCTAACAATCCAATAACTTCCTCTGTTTTTTTTTTTGCAATTTTAAACTTGAGTTATGTTCAGAGTAAATTTGTGTTTTCAATAAATAACTTAAAAACATAAAAACAATACCTAAATGTATAATATCTGTACATAAATTATCAAGGAAGTGCTGATCATGAGAAACAACAAGAAGAGTCTTCTTCCATTGCTGCAAATAACTAAATTTCAAAACATAATATAAAAAAACTATTAGTAACAAATTCGCCACTTCTAATGACTACTGAATAAAAAAACATGTTAAAATGTAAATGATAATATGAAAGTAGATGGTAAGAAGGAATAAATTTTTTTGCACTTGTGTGGGAAAAAAATAATAAATAATGGAATAACTATAAAAATAAGACAATAAATATATATATATACATATACATATACATATATATATATATATATATATATATATATATATATATATATATATATATATATATATATATATTATACTGCTGAGTTGATGATGTCATACTGAAATAGCCTGCTGCCGGGGGCTTCAGTACATAAATCGACTGACAAATAGCCTGACTCGCAGTGGAGTGCTGCTACATTGACTGAGGGTTTGGTATGGGTCAGTAATCTTTTCATTCATTATTGTTCGTTTTCCCTCATCGTTTTCTAAGAACGCTCACCTAATTTAGGCTAGCAAAAAAAGTGAGCAATTGCGCATATAAATATGCTATAGTAGATATATATATATATACATATATGTATATATACATATATGTCACACACACACACACACATATATATATATATATATATATATATATATATATACACACTCACACATATCACAAATATATTAATATTAAATATTAATATATTTGTGATATAAAAATATTAATATTAAATATTATACAAAAAGAAAAGTACATGCATCTAGTTTTAATGAAGATAATTCTAGTGAAACGAACATAAATTAACAAGTTTGGTTAGGGCAGGGTTGAAGTTAGGGTTAGAATTATATTTTAAATTATAAGTATTTTATTTTTAAGTATTTTTATATTTCCTAAAATTAAAATATTAAATATCAAATACAATAGTTTTTAAAAAATATATAAAGTAATTATATATAACATGTATAGATATAAATAGACAAAAAAAAAAAAAAAAAAACATGAATCACTATTATTAAATATCATACCATGCAACAGACAAAATAATAATTAAAATAAAAAATAATATAAATAATTAAACAACTTACTTATCAAGCCAAATAACAGCATTTAAGTCCAAATGATTAGTTGGCTCATCAAGTAATAACAATGTTGGTTCAACAAAGAGTGCTCTAAATATTCAATTCAATACTTGAACATGCTATAACAGAATCACAAAAAAAATTCTGTTTCATTTTTCATATTACATGCAGATGATACATTTTAGTCCAAGGTGGTATCTCGTATCTTAAGGAAGCAGCTCATTTAAATGACATTAGTTTATTATATGAAATAAGAAATATGGTTTTGTTCTAATCATTAAATATATCATTAAATAAAGAGTGGCAGGCCTACCCACCCAGATAATTTTCTATTTGGACAGATACAGGACATTTGCTGAATAGTATATCTGAGACACACTTCATTTTAAATCATTTCTAATTTAATGTTTAAACTTCTTGAATACTAAAAAAATCAATATTTTCACTTTTTAGGTGTCAATAAAGCAAACATGATTTGGTCTAATCATTTTCATTTTAGCAATAAGATACACACAAAAAACAGTACTTTTTATTATTACAGTCACTGACTTCATAAAGTTCTTGTAAAAACCTATCTACAATGATTCATATCTTAAATATAAAAAATTATTACTAATAAAAATATAAAAAATTACTTAATCTAATTTTAGTAAAATAAAAACTCAAATAATCACTAAAACAAAAACAAATAAAAATTACACCTAACAAAATAAATATGAAAAAAAAAACCTTGCTAATGACACTCTCATTCTCCAACCACCAGAAAAATTTTTAGTTGGTCGAGATTGCATTTCTGTTGTAAATCCTAAACCCTGAAAAATAGAAACTATGAAAACTAAAGAATATTTCAAAAGAAAATTTACAAATAAAAATTTTTGTTTACATTACAAATGCTAAAAGTATGATCAACAAACAACATTTAAGAATTATTAATTTAATTAAAAGCAAAGTAAATTAATATTTTATTAGCAATGAAAAATAAAAAAATAAAATAAAAATGAAAAATACAAACCAAAAAATAAATAAAAAGTATGATAAAAAAACATACAGATAAAATACGACGTGCTCTAGATTCAGCTTTGTCAGCACCAATAGCATCGAGCTCTACATAAACCTATTAGAAACAATTTTAAAAACTAAAAAGTATTGTAACTGTTCAAATGAAATTTAAACAGTTTAAAATAAAATGAACAGATTACCTCCTTTAACCGAAGGTTTGCAGCATCGCTCACTTTTTCATTTTTTGAATTTATTGTTTCTAACAAATGTTTTTCCTTTAAACCAAAAAGATAAAATTAAAATAAAAAAATTTCTACAAAATCTACAATAAGCCCAAAAATAAATTAAATTTTAAAAAATAAAAATAAAATGAATTTTAAAAGATAAAAATAAGATAATAATGTATAAATATTACAAATGTTTAATTTAAAGTTTAATAAATAATGCTAAAAATGAAAACTAAAAAATTCCTGAAAAAAACTTCAGCATTTTTCTCTTAAATGGTTTTATTGTTGTTTTTAATGTGACTCATCAAAATAATACTTTTTAATTTATAATTCATTATTTTATTTTTGTTTTTATAAATTTAGATTTATTGATTTCATGTTGTCTTTAAAAAAAAAAAATACTAATTTACTCTCAACAAGGCTGTAAGCAACCATTTTAATGTAAGGAGTTACTAAAAAACAAAGAATAGTGTTAATGAGTAAGGAAAGAGTTGACAGAAATCTTGAAAAGTTGAAGACTGTATGAGTCAGGAAAATATGAAGATGGAAAATATGAAGATGAGTTTATGGCATTTAAGTGCACAGAAATAACTAGATAGATGTTTTTAGAGCATGAAGGGTACAGTGAAAGGATAGTACTTTGCTGAATGTTGAGTCAAGCGAGAGTGAGTTTTGGTAGATGGAACTTTATATGATATCTTGTTTGAGCAATGACTATGATAGTATTTGTAGAAAAGAAAAAGACAGCAACCTTACAATGATGGGTTTAAGCTTGACAGATAGAGCAGGTCCTAGATTTACAATGTATTTTTGGATATTGTCAAGAAGACAAAGAGCATCATTAAAAAAACCCAGCCCAAATATAAGGGGAGCATTTCATACAAGAATAAATAAAAGAAATAGTGAATGGAATCAGGAGTACGATAATGGCAAGTATGATAAAGAGCAACCTTAGCAAAAACTAACGTATATATATATATATATACATAAATAAAATATAAATTAAACTTATAACGAGTATTTGCAGTAAACTATACTGGTAAGAATTATATATGAATACTAAAAAAACAATTTTACTGAAGCGTACAAATCAATTTAAAGTATAAACTGAATAAAAAACGAGTGATACACCATATAAATTGAACTTTATTTAACTTAAATATAATATTTTTAAAATGAAAAATTATATCATTCTTTAATACTGGTACAAAAATCATTCAAGAAATGATGCCTATTTTAAAAAATCTAAACAACTATATAAAAGATACAATAACTTGAAAATCATCCTGACAGTTGTTAAAAACAAGTTGCGCTAATAAAATATAAAAACAAAATCTATTACTTTATTTTTAGTTGCATCACAAAATTTTTTTTGGATTTATTAGAATATTATACAAATACTTGATTTGCTGATTATAGGAGAAATATTACCCATCTCTTAAAAAAATTTTACTATTACATCATAAACCAAAATGTTATGAACTAAACACAAATAAATTATTAGGCCTGCAGATTGCTAATATTATACAGGGATCCAAATAAAGACAGCAAGCTTTGACTAAAACAACAATTGTAATTTTATTGGTATGGATTTATTATTTAGTTTTAAATAAAAAAATGTTTATTACTTAATCACTGCACAAATTATGTTTACACATAAGCATTAATGTTTTTTTTTTCCATTATTATATGCCTTTCATTGTTGTTATCATATTTTTTATTTTGTGTTATTATTGTTGTGAGTGTATAGCCTGTCTTATTTATTTTTAAATATTCCTCTATTAATCTTTATTTTTGTCTTAACAACTGTCAAAATATGCTTTGTCTAATAAATAATTCTCCTTTATTCTAATGTACTTCATTTCTTCCCTCAGGCGTTCACTGCTCGTGTGTGATCATTTGGCGAATTTTATATGCCAAAGTTTTTAAACAATATTATACAGAGATCTAAATAAAGACAACAAGCTTCGACTAAAACAACAATTGTAATTTTATTGGTATGGATTTATTATTTAGTTTTAATTAAAAAAACTTTCTGTCAGTTGAATCTTACCTCTTTCAAAATTTACCAACCTCGCTTTCAAAATGGCACTGTTATTACTCTGATATTTTAAAGTTATGAAATCAGCTTGAGCTACCACAGTCTCTCTGAGAGCTACCACAGTCTCTCTGAGAGCTACCACAGTCTCTCTGAGAGCTACCACAGTCTCTCTGAGAGCTACCACAGTCTCTCTGAGAGCTACCACAGTCTCTCTGAGAGCTACCACAGAGTTCAGAGTTCACGTTACTATCAGTTCCCTTAAAGAGTTTTAGAACTGTAACCTCATTAAGAGATAACAGGATGAGTTGCGCAGCTATTATCATGGAGACAATCTAGGAATAAAGTCAAGTAGATCCAGCATTCATCATTCTAGGAAAGAAAACAATCTAACACAGGTTTACATCTATGTCTAATAAATGATAAATGGGTGAGAGACTGGTCAACAGAATTATTCTGCTTCCTCTAAAGTCTTTACCAATGAGGCCTTTTACAAGACAGTAGCTTCAGTATCAGGTCATTATTTTCAAGACTTTGATTAGATTATTGAATAGAAAAATTTTTGAAAAATTATTGAGATTTTGAAGCAGCTGCATGTAATGCTAATGTAACTTCAAAAAAAAACCTACAAAAAAAAGTCTAAATAATAATAACACATATTTCAAAAAAAACTATAATTTTTTATCAACAAATAAAAAAGCTGATTTCAAAAACCATTATAAAGACTAACCTCTGCCAAGAGTTGGAGTCTTTTTTTATCTGCCTTAAGTACCATCTCAACAGCAGGTGTATCATCTACTTGAATATCTACATACATAGACAAAACAAAATTAGCAGAATATTCTATTCAATCAAACTTCAAGTGAATTTACAACAAACAGAATTATCTAATCAAACTTGAAGTGAAATCATCACAAGTGAATTATCCAATCAAACTTTAGAGTTTAATAAAATTAGTTTATCATTTATAATAATTGTTATAAATAAACTAGTGTAATTATTTATAAAATTAGATCTACCCTATATAGTCTATAAATATCTTTGTATTACTTCAAAAATAAATAAACTATAACCTATATACCTTGTTCACAGAGAAGTACATCAATATTAGGCGGTATAGCCAATTTATTTCGTGCAATGTGAACAAGTAATGTTGTCTTTCCCATTCTAATTAAAATTAAAATTTATTTTAATAAAATTAATTTAATTTTAATAACAAATTTGAATATTTAAATCATTTAAAAAAATAAATTTAATATCTTATAGTAATAAAAATTTTTAACACAGTTATTAAAAATTTTAATACAGTTACGGATAAAAAGATTGAATCACACACATTAAGTCAATTATAAATGCAAATCATGTGCCCTGCAACATACTAAACATGCGTGTATTGTATGGGTGATTGCGTAGTTATCAACCAGTAGGAAAATATCTTATATGCCCTATAAAAACCATGACAACCAGTTTAAACACGAAATTTGAAACTTTAGGCGTGAATGTTTGTATCCACACACTTTAAAGATACCATGTTGACATAACCAGGGTGTTAGCCAGGAATATATTTTTTACCGAGTTTTTGCAAATTTATGAATATTTATTATTATTGTTCTACAAAATATTGAGAAATTTTTTTGAAATTGTCCTACTACTAGAGCGCTCGCTTCATAAACGAGTGGTTCCGAGTTCGAACCCCACCACGTCCCTGGTAGTACCGCGCTCAACTCGTTTCTCTGCGCAGCAGCCTTGTTCGTCAAGGTTCGTGTTTCGGAGTTATAGAGTTGAGAGAGGGTTATAGCCACAAATAAGTAGCCTCCTCGTCTGTAGTGGCCTTCTCGGCCTTGATGAGGTGAATTAAAATTAAAAAAAAAAAAAAAAAAAACTTAAAAAAAAAAAGGTCAATAAATTTTAAGAATTTTAAATGCATTGGGAATTTCTTAACTTCTGCAAAGGAATATCCAACAATTATGATTTTGAGTGCAGTCACTGCCAACACCAGTGACGTATCCAGGAATAATTTGGGCATACCGGTCTAAAAATCCTGTCTATGTTAGAGGACCTTTTTTTTTTTTTTTTTTTTTTTTCAACTCAAATTTAAATACAATTATTTGTATATAATATATAATGATTTATCGCTAATCGCTACTTTTCATTTACTTGCTCCATACACTTACTATTTATAAATTAATAGTAATTATTAAATTATTAAATATTATAAACTAGAAATAAAAAGAGTTTGATTTCATAAACAAACAATAACTATAACATTTAATAAACAATATTTGTATGACTCTTTGATATAAACTTCATAAGATTTATTACATAGCGTATTTAAAACAAGGTAAATTCATACGAAATTTTAGTTCATTCAAAAATGCATAACTTTTTTTTCTAGTTCTACTCTTACTATTCAAATAAAGTTTTTTGGCGCTAATATCAAAATGTTATTTTAATTATTTAAATAAATGTTACTTTAATTTTATGTTTTAAAAACTTTCATTCGTTTTATTATTTAAAGTATTATACAAACAATTTTTACTGTTGTTTGAAATGAAAAAGTTCAAAACTCATCTAGTTTAATCGCTTCGAAAATTATGTTATGAAAACGTAAGTGGAGGAGAAACTCATATTAATGTATTTTAAAAATGTTATTTAAAAATGCTAAGCGTCATATTTTAATCCAATTAAAACGTGCATTTTACATTTAATCCAATTACAACATATTCTATATCTCATCAACGTGAATTCGAATTAAGCATTTTGGTTGGCTTAAAATACATTTATAATGTATTTTAAGTTTTAAAATACATTTTACTTTTAAAATACATTTATAATGTATTTTAAATGCGACTTTTAAAATACACTTATAACATACTTTAAAAGTCGTTTTTCAAATGTTGATATTTATGTAATTGTAACAAATGCTAATATAAAACTGTTTTAAATTGAGTTTGGGCTGAAATTTGGGGGCCCATACCGGTATACCAGTATCAAAATCAGCCTGGATACGTCGCTGAACAGTCATGTTGGTTTACAATTTTTACAACAAGGCAAGATAAAATTAAAGTTTTTACAGTAAGGTGAGATGAATTTCCAAGTAATTTGCACAATTTCTTGGGAATTTTGAAAACTTTTTTCAAAACCAAATTCAAAACCATTAAAATATGCTAAATGGTTTTAAATTTGGTTTTGAAAAAAGTTTGATATTTTTATGCCCAATGCGGCAATAAACCCTATCTAAAACTGCTTGACAAAATTGTAATACAATTTTACAGGCAAAAATACAAAAACAATATTTTACCCATTTGGGCCAACTAATCCATAGCGACGACCCTGAGTTATATTTAACGAAGCATTAACAAATAAATCTTTCCCACGAGCGGCAATGCTGAACTTTTCAATCTGTTAAAAATATTTAAAAAATATTAATAACCATATTTGTTTATGAAATCTTAAATTTACATATACTTATGATATAAAGTTGTATATATATATATATATATATATATATATATATATATATATATATATATATATATATATATATATATATATATATATATATATATATATAAATATATATTAAAAAAAAAACTTACTTTTATATCAGTAGCATTTTCTAGAACAGCACCTTTTAAAGAAGATTCTTGTTGCGAGATTGAAAATTGTGACCCGTCACCCTCCATCTCTGCTGATTCAGCATTATATTTTGCCTAATAGATAAATAAAAATAAAATATTTTTTGGCAGCCCATAATTATATCACTCAAAGATTTTTTAAGGAAATATTAGATACTAATCAGAACCATGTAAAATCTTTAAAAGAAGCCAATATTAGCTTACAGGAGCTACTAGATAGAAAAAAAAAGTTACTAATCAGACCAAGTCTTTTTTATTTATTTAGCTCAGCTGAATAAACCATGATACAAGTTTACAACTTAAAAAAAACTAAAGTGCCTGTTTAAGAGATATGACTTTTAGAATAAAATGTCATAAAAAAAAAGAAAATAGTGCATAGGTAAATTGTAATAATTGTGCACTAGAGTGCACATTTATTACAATTAAAAAATAACGAAAAACCGAAGAAGAGAAAGAAAGTATAACTAATATCTAAGTTGCAAAAAAACTTCAAAATGAGAAATTTGTTCTTTAACCAAAAATATTAAATTAAAAATTTGTTCTTTCACCAAAAGTATTAAATGAGAAATTTGTTCTTCGACCAAAAATATTAAATGAGAAATTTGTTCTTTTACCAAAAGTATTAAATGAGAAATTTGTTCTTCGACCAAAAATATTAAATGAGAAATTTGTTTTTCAACCAAAAGTATTAGAATTTAAAATATTATTTTGTGCAAAGGCCTAAATAATAAACTTTATTCCAACTTTAGGAAGTTATGGGAGGAATTTTTGCCATTAATTTCTGCTCCTGATGCTAAATATCGATTTAAAAAGTTTTCTCACTTTTGGCTCAGGCATATACAGTTTGTGTTTTGAAGCAAAGTTTTTTATAAAGTTTCCTTTGAATAACACAACTTTTCCAAGGAAAATGTACCTCAGAATAATGTTTTTTTACTGTATTGAAACATAAGTTATTAGTAAAAATGTTGCGGAGAAAACATTAAGTATAAAAAAATTTGTATATGCTGTCACCTAAAGTTTTTATTTTTTAAATTGTTTTATCTCAAAACTTAAAAATGTGGAGATTAAACAAGATAATTTTAACATCGCTATTTGTTAAATGCCTTTTTGCTACTTGCACCCATAATTATTGAAAGATATGTAATTTTTAATGTTCATAAGTTATTTCATATTTTTGATGATTAAATATTATAGTTGTTCTGTAATTACATTGTAAAAACTTTTACAAGCATCTTGTAGAATATCTGGCTTTTTGTTTTAACATCAACTCTGATAAGTTAAAAGATTTTAAAATTTTTCAGTCTAACGCCTGTAATGCAGCTCATTTTATGGCAAATTCCATATATCACTTAGTTCTTAAAATTTAATCACCAGTAATTGATTATCTACATGAACAACAATAAGATGTTTCTAAAATGAATTTTCCATGCACTCATGTTTTTGAAGTCTAATCTTGCTAAGCATTCTATTTTAAATGACTTTCAATAAAGCACAAATTATAAAAAAAGAATGGAACTTAAAGGAAGGTAATGCTCTGTTGAAGAGTTTGCAAGCTCATTCTTATTACTTGTCTCCTAAAACAGTTATGGATGGTTTCAGCTAATTCACGTCTTGATTTGCAAACTAAATCAGACATTTTAGAAACTTTACTTCAGCATAAAGTGCCTGTAATCAAGCTTATAAAGCTAATGGTTGTTGCTCTAAATTATAACACTCAATTAAAAGATTTGATTACAGAGGAAAGTCAGTTTATTTTTATAAAACTGTATTTATTTAGTGAGATTAAGGTTGGGTTATATACCAACACTTAAGTTTTTGATAAAAAAAACTTTGTTTTTTTATCAAAAACTTAAGTGTCACAAATGATTGTGCTGAAAGAAGTATCGGAATAATCCAGTAATTTGTTGGCTAATCTTAAAATAAAGAACAATGACTAAATACCCTATCAGAAACAGACATCGCAAATTAATATCTACAAATATTTCAAATAAGATTAAAATATTGTTTTTATTTTATATACCATTGTTTTTAAAATTTTAATGCAAAAAACTGGCAAAAATGTGTTATTTGCATAAAATCCAAGTTTTACATAAAACTCTTTCTTTTAGACTTTTGAGCTAAAAAAATTTTAAAAACTTTTAAGTGATTATAAAACAGCTTTTCACATAGTGTATTTTAAATTAATGTTAAAAAGTTCAAAAAAAAATCACCCTATTAATGTTTCTTATGTAAACACAAATAACACCATATCATTTTAAAACTAAAGTTAAATACCAAAATTGAAAATTTTTTAAATTTTGATTTATAAAAATTAGAATTTCAATTGAGAGAAATTAAATATGAGATAATTACAGTGGTTTAAAAAAAAATTTTGTAACCTAATTATTGTTTTTTGTTTTTAAAAATTTTAAATTTAAAGAAAATTTAATATAAACAAATATCTTTTTACAAACAAATCAAATAAAAACTAAATGTCTAGGAAATTTTTAGGAAATAAATACAATGTCTAGAAAATTTTTACTTTTCTTAGTTAAAAAAAAAAAGACTTTTTATTACTTTTCTAAGTTCCATTTACATTTACATTTATTGTTGTTGAGCGCATTTACATTTGGTCACCCTAGCCCTAAAAATTTACATTTGTCAACAGCCTATCATTGCTTTTTTAATTAAATCTCCTTATTTAAAAACTCAAAAAAGAAAAAGAACAAAAAAATTATAACTTAACAAAAAATACCTGCTTTGCTGCTTTTTTTTTTTCTTTCCGTGATAATTGAGGAACTATAAGTAAAATCAGTTGCAGAAATTAAAAGAAAATCAATCAGTAGAAAATAAAAAAATTAAAAAAAATTTAAAAAAACTTGTTATCCTACTAAGTGTTGTTTTTAAGTTTACAATAGCATTATATAGATTATAGTGCTCATCATAAATTAATCATTATTTTGTTTTTTGTTGTTGCTGTTGTTTTTTGTTTTTGTATTCTTGTGTATACTTCATTGGGCATTGTAGTGTATAGTTCATATTGTTATAAAATTTAATGCTTTGTTTACATTGGTATGTTTTTTTTTTAGTTTTATGTTGGTTGGACATTTTTAAATATGTATATACTTTTAAAGCTGTATATGTATCTATATCTCCATCACCGTGGCAGATTAGCAAGTTAGCAAGTCTACATCAAGTTAAAGGATGCAACAAAAATATCTATTCATTAATTATTTTAATATACATAATCAAGTTTTAGAAAATCTGTAACTACACTCTATCACTTTATTGATTTGAAAGCAAAATATTTTGACTTTTTGTTAAACACTGGCATTGTGAGGCACGCGATCGAATAAAACCATCTCGAGATTTTTCTCAACATACAGCCAGCAAAGCCTCAGTTACGAGCTTGACACACTGCTCCACTGATTGAATATGGCATGGAAGTCTTTCAAACTCAATTGTTGATTGTCCGCTACATTCCTAAAACAATTAAATATCTTCCTCGGATACATCAGCTATCAATGGTGGTTTAGTTATTTTATTGTCTTTCCAGTTCTAAGTAATAATGTGCATCTAAATTAAGCTTTTGGTAAACTGAAAGTAGGCAGTGTATGATCTTTTTCTAATCACGTTTTAAGAATGCGCCTTAATCCTGAATCCCGAATGTGCTGGTGTTTGTCACTATTCATTGCTAGTAAGAGATTTTCTGGATGAGCAAAATATCCATTACGTTGTAATACCAGATCTCGCATTTCCTGTGATAAGTAACGTGACTGTTTAATAAGGTTAAAAAGATGTTGCACACTGTTTTTGCATGAAGGATGCATCTTAATACTAAACCAAACAGGAGAATAAACTCTCATGACATAATTTTTTAAATGGATCAGAATTGTTGATGGATCCTTGCTTGCCACATACAACCGTAGAAGTCTACTTGCTGTTGTCAGCCATCGAGAGTGATTTAGTACTCCTGGAGTTTTTTTTGATAGAGCTAGTGAACACTCACCTTTGAAATAGACTTCGCACATTTCCCACATAAATTTTTGATCTGTGCTCAAATCTTTAAGTTCAACTTTTGGAAAAGTTACATCAATTTTTTTAAATTTAACAAATGGTAATTTCTCACAATTTAGAAGTTCCTTACCAATTTTTTTTTTTTATTTGCATTTACTCCCAACAAGGCTGCAAGCAACCACTATTGAGTTAAGAGTAACTAGGAAAAAAAAAAACAAAGTTATAAAGCAAGGAAACGGTTCACAGAAGACTGGAAAAGTTGAAGGTTGTATTAGTCAGGAAAACATGAAGATGGGAGAGAGTTCCAAAGGATTGAAGTGCGGGGAAAAAAACTAGATGAATAAAAGTTTTTAGAGCATGCAGGGACAGATACAGTAAACGAATTAGACTTAGCTGAATGACGAGTAAAACGAGAATGAATTTTAGTTGATGGAACTAGATGATAACTCCTTTGAGCAGTGACCATGATAGTATTTGTAGAAAAGAGAAAGAGATGCAACTTTACGACATTGGGAATGAGGCTCAAGCTTAGCAGATAGTCCAGGTCCAACAACATTTACAATGCGTTTTTGGACCTTGTCAAGAAGAGAAAGTGAATCGTTAGAAGAACCAGCCCAAATATGACAACAGTATTCCATACAGGGACGAATAAGAGATTTGAAGAGTTAGAGAATGGTATCAGAAGTAAGGAAATGGCGAGCACGATAAAGAGAAGCAACCTTAGCAGAAGCTAATTTAGCAATCGATTGTATATATGGTTTCCATGAAAGGTCAGTAGTAAGCGATAATCCAAGAAGACGTAAAGAGGACGACACAGTAAGAGGATTGCCATTCATTAATATAGGAATGTTGACCATATTACGGTAGTTGTTTGCAGTAAGCAACTGGGTTTTTTTAGAGTTAAAATTCACAAGCCACTGTAAACCCCAATCTATTACTGAAGTGAGATCGGATTCAAGATCAGCTGCTTGTTTTAGGCGATCGAAAAGAGAAGACTTTTTGTCAAGACAGGAGTATAAAGTTGAGTCATCAGCAAAAAGAGCTACTTTAGATGAAAGGTTGTCAGGAAGATCGCTTATGTAGATAAGAAACAAAACAGGCCCCAGAATGGAACCTTGGGGAACCCCAGAAGTTACTGGAAATAAAGAAGAGTGTTGGCCTTCAAGGATGACTTTAATAAACCGGTTAGAAAAAAATGATTTGATAATCTCAAAAACTTTCCCAGAAACACCATATGAAGCAAGCTATGGAGAAGACCAGCATGTCAAACTTTGTCAAAAGCTTTAGATGTCGAGAGCAATAGCCCTAGCCTCACCGCCTCCATCTAATGCACAATAAAATCTTTCAGTTACAGCAGTTAGCAAGTCGGCCGTAGAGCGAGAGGATAGAAAACCGTATTGATTGTCTGACAGTAGTTTATTTGACTCTTTTTAAAATTATTACCGACAAAACTAAATTTACATTGGTCCAATTTATGTAAAAACATAGCAAAAGGTGATTGTTTAAGATGAGATGTGAGGAATTTGTTGATCAAAGACTCAAAGACCTTGCTAATAACAGAAAGAAGACTGATCCGACGATAACTGGAGGAGTCCGAATTTTCTCCAGAGTTTTTGAATATTGGAACCACAGATGCCATTTTCCAACAAGCAGGAAAACAAGACTCAGTCAAACACTTGTTAAATAGTTTAGAGAGAATTGAAGAAAGTTCTGGAGAACAATTCTGCAAGACTGTGACAGGAATGTTGACTGGACCACAAGCTGTAGACGAGTTTAATTAAGATATGACTTGAGCAACAGAAGCCGGAGTGATTTGAATGTCTAACAATGGGTCAACCTGTTTGACTGGAATGGAAGGAAGAGAATGTCCATAAGATTCAAGAGCGGAATTAGAAGAAAAGTTCTTTGCAAATAGTTCTGCCTTATCCTTGAGAGAGGTAATAAGATCAGTCCCATGAATGAGAGATGGAATGTTAGATCTACCCTTGTTAATAATGCTGTTGAAGATTTTCCAAAAGTCTTTAGAGCCTAACTTCTGTGATATAATGCGAGATTTAGTGAACTGAGAATAATGGAGTTTAGCATCAGAAAGCACCTTTTTACATCGATTTCTTGCAATAATAAATAGCCATTTGTTTTCAAGAGAGTTGTGTTTTTGAAAAAGTACAAGAAGGAGAAAACCATGGAGTAGAATGAGGCTTGACTAGAAACCGACGCGAAGGAATAGAAGCTTCCATTCCAGCCTAAATCCAGGAGGTTATGTAGAAGGCGCATTTGTCAGCTGAGAGAGAAAAAACATCAGCCCAAGGACCATCACGAAGAAAATCACGAAAGGAATCCCAGTCAGTTTTAGGGTAGTAGTAGGTGGTGCGATGATAAGGTGAGCCCAAAACAGAAGTACGAGAAGAAAGATTTATAGAGATCATCGCATGGTCAGAACCACCTAAGGGAGAAAAGTGAGAAACTGAACATAAGCTAGCGTCAGAGACAAGACATAAGTCAAAGAGTGAAGGTAAATGATTAGGGTTGTCAGGAAAATGAGTCACAAAGTTAACTATCTGAGTAAGAGATTGAGAAACGCAGAATTTAAAGGCTTCAGTGCTAGCAGGATCAGTGGGCATTAAAATCACCAACAACAACAATATTGGCAGAGGGGTAAAGAGAGAGGGCATGGTCAATTTGATCAGAGATAACATCTAAAAGAGTGCAATCATGGGAAGAAGGAGAACGATAAAGAACAAAGAGAAAAGTGATAGAGTGAAGAGGTGCTAGGCGAAAGCACATAAAAGAATGGTCAAAGGATTTGAACCTGATTTCACGATAAAAAGGGGAATTAATGCGTATGTATACCCCTAAACCTAGCATGTGACTATTGGATTCTTTACGAATCAAAGGATAGTACCCATTAACACTGACATCTGAAGAAGGAATTGCAGAACTTAAATTTGTTTCACTGAGTGCAAGCAAGTCTGGTGAATTTTGCAGGAGGTAAGACTCAACTGACGGAAAGTTGCTTCGCAGACCACGAATATTTGTAAAAGATATATTAAAACATTTAGGTGGTGGGGATGGTTTTTTAGGTTTAAAATTTTTGGTTTTTTTGGTCATGATTTTGGTTCAATGAGAAATTGACTCATTTATAGATAGAGCACAGCCTCCTAATCAATGAGCTATGCAGGTTATATCTACGCTAGCCTAATAGATGATGAAGGGGTTCGAGGCTGGTTAGCAGAATTTTTCTGCTTACCCCTAAAGTCTTTGCCTAGGAGGCCTTCTACAAGACAGTTGCTGGATGCAGTTAACATCTGCCCTAGATGAGTATTTTTATCGAGACACCATCTCTAGCCTTTACTCAACCAAGAGCCCCAAAGCAGGGGAATTTTTAGTCGGAGTTTATTTCTCCTAGCCTTTGCCTAAGAAGAGTACACTCTGCAAGGCAGCAGGGCTTGTGGCAGGTGGTACTGGGTTACGTGATACTAGTAGCAAGATTGATCTTGATTATCCTGACCTGACCTGGAGTAGATAAAAGGAGTTACTTCCCGCAACAATACTTTGAGAAAACCAGGCATGACATTTTGAAAGTGCATTAGGAAAAGCACTGCATCTAACAAAATACAGGAGTCTAAGGTGAGTGTAGATTTTGTAGTTGGAGTAAGTAGCTAGTTACTGAGCTCACGCTGCATCAGAGAATAAACAGAACACAAACAAACATAAACATAAATCAACTTACGGGTGAGTCAACACCGCATCAGAGGTTCTGACAGAACACAAACATACATAAA